CCAATGGTGTGGCATAGTCATACACCCATACGGATATAATTAGGTTATGCAATGTTATATAGAATGCCCCTGCCATGCTTAAATATCAATGCTGGCAAGCCATCCATCCTAGGGGCTTTATTGGTTTTCATTGTACCTAATGCATCCATCATTTCTTCAAAATATGAGGGTTCAGCATCATCTTCATCCTCAATTTTTTTGGACTTCATACATCCAATGTTCTTAACTTCTTGGGCTCCTGTCACCATTGAGCAGTTTATTATAGTGGACCTCCTTTTTTGCAATATATCTTGACACTCCTAGGAATATTTTGTACATAAAGGTGGCTCCAGACAAGCAGGATTCACCAAATGCCCTCACAAGTGAGCACTCTCAACACGACACATAAGAATGACACATCTACACAGAAAACAAACACTTTGAGCCCTGAAGATGATCTCAATAAAGATCGTAACGTTGGCACGATAAAGAAAAATTTTTTCTAAAACCTACGTCACACCAGACAACATCTCACGATCTCCTAATAATCATTGACTAACGGTAACTAAACACCACACAAACAGGAAATAAGATTGATCATGCAATGAGGAGGAAAAAACAGCCACTCATATTATCTTCTAATGCGAAGCAACCTTCAATGGAGACATAACCTAGGATATAAAGAAAACCCACAAAAATTTGCTGCATCAACACTCATGAACTTAATACTTCTAAAAAGAAGGACTGAGTCGATTGTACTGAACTAACAATAAGTTACTAAGAAAAGTACATTAAGCCAGAGCTAAGAAGGTTGCAGTACTTGAGTACAAAACCCTCACTTCATAGCATTCCATCATCATCAACAACTCCTGACACTTCAAGGTATTAGTTTGAAAAAATATTGAACAAAGTGGTCCAACAGTACAATATTTAAAGTTGATGCAGGGTGTTGGTCTGCAAGTTGGTGAACCCACGCTGAACTGGCATTGGGTCCGTCTTCATTCGCAGGTTTGTTGAATTATTAGAACGTGTTTCAGCATTGTGTCATCTTCAGGGAGAAACTGCCTGACAGTTCCGGTTCAACATGTGCTCCTAAACCTACATATTTGTATTTTACAAAATTATAACGCTATCTTGAAGCTAAAAAAGTTAACATTTTCACACTTTATAAGGATTGTTTACCAAATAACAGGAACAGTTCACCTAACTTGTTTTATGATTGGTCTCTGAACTTTTACCTTGGAAGTTAGAGGTTGATGGAAAGCTTACGTGTACAAGGGGTAAGACTTGCTATTATCCAAGTCTCAATTGTCAAAGTCCCCAACAGACCAATTGTTGATACTTCTACGATACAAATTTTACAAGACAAAATGGAACAAACTGATTCTATTATTTAACTTCAAAACTTCCAGTACAATTGTCAGTTTTATCGGATATGAGAAAAAACAACTACACTGATGGACAAAATTAATGCACCACCCTTAAATTTTAATGGATTTACATTTATTCATATTTTGCTACCAATAATAGGTTTGGTTGTAAAAATAAGACATTTAAAAAGAAAATTGGACACCTACAAAAAAATCGGAAAATGGCATTTCTTGGAAAAGATTTCTGATAAAATCACAAGGTATTCTTCCCCATTCATCAAGAACAGTCATTTCCAACTCTTCTAGTGTCAGGACCTGAGCTTCGCTTTCGTATTCGTTACTAAGTTGGTCCCAAATGTGATTGGGTTCAAATCTAGATTTTGAGCTGGTCACACCAAGCACTCAGTTCCAACCTCATTCCGTTAGTCATCCACAATACATGCTCTAAGGAGCCAGGCAATATCCTGCATGAGCAAGAATCTCTCAACAATGTGGGGGGGGGGAATGTTCTTTGATTGTCTTGTAAGTACCTCTGTGTAGTAAGAGATCTTTCTCACACAACAACAAAGTCAGTGCAGGCATCCAAGGAAATGCCACCCTAGAACATCAATGACCCACCGTGGAATTCCTCCTGAAGACCTTTCAGCATGGGGTGTATTTGTCTCCTGAGCGTCTCCATATGAAATTACGCTCGTTTGAAGATTTAAGCCCATCTCTCACTTCATCTGTAAAGAGAACTTGTCTCCAATCTTCCAATGTCCAACTCACTCACGAGTTCCTATCAAATTGAAGCCTGGCCATTTTCTGATCTGTGGTAAGCACAGGTCCACGGCTTCTCAGATTTCTCATCTCATTTATCGTAATGCTGCAGTTTCAAAGAGCCTCATAACATATTTTTCCCATTGGGGATCACAATATCTTAGACAATGAGGGTTCTTTAACGTGTGCACCTGGCACATAGGCCTTATCACACATTTAGTTTCTCAAGTGACTCACCTCCACTCACGGCTGTTAGTGTGATACTGTGAGGTACGGTGTACAAGCAACCAAATCCACAGATTAATCAACAGATATGGTGACTTCTCACGCTTGCCTCATCTGAAGGGATGGGTTAACATTGTGCACTAAACCAAATGCCATGCATAAAGGGATACCCAAAATGCCTCAGCTGGTCTCCCAACGTGCTCTCTAGATAGAGACAACTCTACTCCCCTGAGTGTAAGTGTCAAAACTACCGGATACTTTCCAGCCGCAATTTCGTTTAAAGTAGAAATTCTAACCACCCCCCTAGAGATTGCCTTTGGTAAAGGAAGCACCACCGAGCAACAACCTCTTCTCTAAGTACCCCCTAGGGGTCTCACCTATGGCCAACATAGCACGCTACTGGGCTTGGAACTGAAGAACTGTGCTATCTGTCATACAGCTGGTTATCACTCTCCCCCGTCTATGCAGACCACCCTTCATTATAGATGGATCTATTGTCTGTACACCTAGGTCAACCCCATCCTACCCTTTTAATGTGAAGCCCTATTTCTTTGAAGCGCCAAAGAACTCCCTTTCTAATGTAGAGTAATTTTCATCTAGTCTCCTGGCGACTTTGAGCTGGCTGTGCTCTTCCTCTATTAATGTTATGTCCCGACACTGTCATACTCACTCAAATACCTGGAGCCATTGAGAAAGGTTGATATAAGGATAATATCAAATGAAATCAACTAAAGAAAAATATCAACTGAAAGGGATCTTTATGCGTAGCAGAATGTAAGGGCATAATGCTATTTTTTATGCAAATGGGATTAATCAGTAAACAAGTAAACAGAGAAAGTAAACAAAACATTATTTACTGTTTCTTTTGACTTCAGTAGCTCCTAATTATCTGCAACTAATGTAGAAAGATAATGGATTTAATTTTAAACTAAATAAATTGAATGGTGCATTAAATTTGTCCATTATTGTAATTTACCAACTGTTGATACTTCTAAGATACTAGTTTTACCGAAGAAATGATGGACAAAAGAGTCCAGCAGTACAATTGCCAATACTTTCTCAACAAATGTAAATTTTATACGAGACAAGATGAAACCTGTCAATTTCCCTATTTTCAATACTTCTTCAATGTATGTTTATTTTACATAAAATTAACCGGAGTTTTTTCTTCAGCATTTCAGTACAAGCTCTGGTAAGTTTTCTCGACAACAAATTGTAGATCAGTTAGAGACTTACAGAACAGAGTATGTAACTGATATCAAGTTGCTGGAAGAGGAAGTAGACCAGTGCTTCAAAGCGTTTAGACAAGAATAAATTGTTTAAGAGTAACTTTTGTTTTAAGTATAAGATTTTTTATACTATTATTATTTATAATAATAATTTTTTCACAGAATGAACTCAATTCACCAGTTCATCAACTGTTATTTATTCAAGGCTATTAATTTGGTCAATTAATTTTTTTTTAATCTAAGGTCTTTTTTCTTTAGCTAAGGTGTTGGTTGAAATGAAAAAGTTAGTGTGAAGAGCAGGATTCAAACCCACGACCTTCGGCTGAATAAGCCACTGCTCTAACCACTTGAGCTATTGTGATTTCGATCCACTCGAACACCAACTCCTCATCTCCACTTACAACCTTTTCTAATCTTTTAAATGTCATGTAATCAGGATTCGATTCCCAATGACTTATGAAGTGGTCACAGGGAGCTGTTAGCAAAGTGATTACTTCTTGAATTATTATATTAATCCACATAAGTTTAGCGGTCATAATTGACTATATTAATTATTTCAATTAATTATTCTTTTTATAGGTCTTGGTTGAATTGAAAAAGTTAGTGTGAAGAGCAGGATTCAAACCCATGACCTTCGGCTGAATAAGCCACTGCTCTAACCACTTGAGCTATTGTGATTTCGATCCACTCGAACACCAACTCCTCATCTCAATTTACAACCTTTTCTAATCTTTTAAATGTCGTGTAATCAGGATTCGATTCTCAACGACTTATGAAGTGGTCACGGGGAGCTGTTAGCAAAGTGATTCTTTTTGAATTATTATATTAATCCACATAAGTTTAGCGGACATAATTGATTATATTAATTATTTCAATTAATCATTCTTTTTATCTAAGGTCTAGGTCCAGATGAAAAAGTTAGTGTCAAGAGCAGGATTCAAACCCATGACCTTCGGTTTATGACACCAACTTTTTCATCTGAATCTAGACCTTAGATAAAAAGAATAATTAATTGAAATAATTAATATTGTCAATTATGTCCGCTAAACTTATATGGTTTATGAATTTTATGGGATATAAGATTGGTTCACCACTTCAACAAATGTTATCTTCAAACCAATATTTATTTTCCAGGATATAATATGGAACCATTGAGCATTCAGTTCATAATGTGCCAATACTTCTTGTAGAATATTAATTTTACAGGAAAGAAGATGGAACAAGTTGGTACTCCATTTCATCAATTGTCAAACTTGTTATACTAATGTAATTGAATTTAAAAAAATCCTCCAGTTGACTCATTTGAACGGTTTAGGTGAGGAAGGGTGTAATTTGAAATCTGGTGAATGGTCGGCATGCAACACCATTTGAAACATGCAACATGCTATTGTCGCGGTAGAGTTTATGGCTGTCAAAATGTCAATTTTTCTGGACGTACCTTGCAGTGGGTGAAGGTCGAATCTTCGAAATTGTACATGAGGGACCAAATGATGCAGAAGATGAAAGCAGTGAACGGCATCAAACAAGTGATCCAGGCTACTTTGGCGATTGGGACTTTGACGACGAACCCTTTTTTAGGGTGGTGGTGGTGCAGAGGCAAATAATCCGATCGGCTCATCTCCATCGGCTACGAGGCGGTGCACATTCCGTAGTCGTAACCCGGTCGTATTTCCGCTGGCATGGCTCTCCTACGAGAAGAATCGGGAGGAAAGACGGCCGCCGAGCCGTATGTTTTTGTCGAGAGGGGAAAGGGGCGTCGGGCGCCGACAAACCCGCGGGACCGGCTCCCCTTTGGTACGGAGGCTAAACGGCGTTCATGAGAGCCGACGACAAAGACACGGGCCAACAAGGACGAACGTCGACAAAGACGGTCCGCGACAATCGAACGCCGTTCAATCCGAGGAAAACATTGATCAGCTGTTGCTACGTCACGCCGACCGTCCGACCTCGCTTCAAGCGACACCAGCGCCCGAACAACAATCCCGCTCAATTACAGAACAGAAATTTTATTTACAAACAATATACATTATAAATTCCACAGTTTGGGAAGCCCCAGTTTAAACAATACAGCATACATAATAACTTCTTTCAATTAATTAATCTTTTTATGTAAGGTATTGGCTGAAATGAAAAAGCTAGTGTCACGACCGAGATTCGAACCCACGCCGAAGGCCGTTTGTTCGAATCCCGCTTCTGACACTAGCTTTTTCATTTCAAACAATACCTTACATAAAAAGATTAATAAATTAAAAGAAATTATTTGGCCAATCGAACCACGAAATATAATGGATACATAGTAACATTGGGCTGGTGCAAAAATAATTCAGGTTTTGAAAAGGCATTGAAAAATAATTTCAATTTTATAAAATAAAGAAAATTTATTCGAATTTATTTCGATTAATTATTCTTTTTATCTAAGGCCTTGGTTGAGATGAAAAAGTTAGCGTCAAGAGCGGGATTCGAACTCACGACTTTCGACTGAGTTCGGGTGGATCGAAGTCATGATAGCTCAAGAGGCAGAGACCCTCTAGCCCGGTGCTTCCCGAATTGTAGTCCCGACCCTAACCAGGTCTCCACGGCGAACTTCAAGAAAAATTAATAATTACAAAAATAAACGTAGAATGAATAAATAAAATTAAAAAACTAATAATGAGTACTAAAAAGTTTTTGTTTGCAGCAGTAGTCATTGTGATTCCACAGACATCCTTTAGCTATGAAACAAATGCCAGCCTGTTTTAAGAAAGTTTTGGATGAGTCTGTTCAAATTATTAATTATATCAAGTCGCGGCCATTGAAATCAAGACTTTTCATAATTCACTAGTTTTCGTGGTCCGCTTGACCAATTAATATCTTTCAATTAATTAAGGTTTTTAGTTGAGATAAAAAAGTCAGTGTCACGAGCGGGATTCGATCCCACGATCTTCGGCTAGATACGCTCTACCACTTGAGCTATCGTGACTTCGATCCACTCTCAAATTCAGAAGGAGGGGTTGAGATGGGAAGTTGGTGTCCGAGTGGATCGAGGTCACGTTAGCTCAAGTGGTAGAGCAGCGGCGTATCTAGCGGCTAGCCGAAGATCGTGGGTTCGAATCCCGCTCGTGACACTGACTTTTTTATCTCAACTAAAAACCTTAATTACTTTGCATAATAATATGACGATGACGATATGGGAAGCCTTCATCATTCCCTGCTATTCCATACAGAAGTGAGGTGGTTGTCTAGTGGGAAAGCACTTTCACGATTACAGGAATCACGTTCTGAAATTCTTTCTCTTTTGATGGACCACACGGTCAAATCGGCCAAAGCTTTTAATGATGAAAAATGGCAATGTGTACTGTCGTATTTATAAGTCTTTCTTTGCATGGGAAGGGTATCACAACTTTCGATGCTAATGACTAAGTTCACAACTTCAAAAGAAAAATCCAGGTTTGGGTTGAATCTGTTGAGAAAGAAGAGGTGGAGTGTTTTCCTGTTAAATGATCTTTTTGATGATTGTAGTAACGTTGTTTACCAAGTAAAACTTAAAAGAAATAAACCTTGCATATTACAGTTTATATTATTAACACACCTCCCCTCTATAGATCCACCTGAATACCATAACTGTTTTAGTGGTTTTATTCTTCTAATTTACGTGGCCACGACGGTTAAGGCGTTGACATGGCGCTCATCACTGTGGGGTAAAGGTCCCGGGTTCAAATCCAGTGGCACTGTCTTCAAACCCGACGTACTTACAAATGGGCCTTTTTTTAATAACACGGGCACCCCTGCTGTTGCGGAGTTAAAAACAATTTTCCCTTATTACTTTTCTTTGTGTCAATTTTTTTTTTAATTTTGTAATAGGCCATCTCATTTATTTTCATCTTTTCTAGAATTTTATGATGGCTTATTGTTAGGGTTTTGTTTCTACTTGTCTTAAGAGTCATCACTTTTGTATACCTCTGGAGTATGTGTTTTGATGCTAGTTCGATTTCACATTTTTTTTACTAATACATTTTTACATATTTGCCTCATCATAAATGAGTTTTCTTTGTTTTTAATGATAAGCCATCTTTTAATTAAACTTTTTTTTATTTTGCCGCTGGCAACCCTTCCTTTCTTTATATTATAATTTGTGTTGGATTGTGTTTAGATAATTTATAGAAATGATAAATGGTGGAGGAGTGTGGTGTTCAATCCTTTTTTAAAAAGATAGTTCCTACTCACAGTAAGTTGTTTTGCAACGTCCGGATTTCGAGCCTTTTAGCTCATCATCAGGTTGAAGGACTTCTGTGAGTAGGAACTGTCTTTTTAAAAAAGGATTTAGATAATTTTACTAAATACCTCTATTTTCTTACATTTCAATAGCAATATGTAATTAAATGGATGGTCAACTAGGGAGGTACAAATTTGTTCCAACATGTCCTAAATTCATAATTATGTTTCATGTCTTCCACCTCGGAACAAAATCTGCATTGATATATTTTATACAGGTACTATTTAAATATCCAAGTGACCTCAGCCTGCATATTGTACGGCACAGGTTTTTACTCACCGAAGACGAACTGAACCATGGTACAATCAGTTTAATCGTTTTTGGTGACTTTGATGTTTCTATCAAGTTTTCCGTGTGCAGCTTTGTTCGTTGGATATATATTTGTAGTAAATTTTAACGTTTGAGGGTCTCATGCTGTTACTGCTTTTTTGGCTAAGCTATCTACTTTTTTCATTACCTTGTACTCGATAGTGCGCACGTAACGTTATTAGTGTTCTACCATTTACCATATACCAAGCATCGTAGTTTTCACTTTTCACAGTTGGATTTAAAACGTCCACAACAATCAAAATTCCTTCCCTGAATAGCGTTAAGTTTAGCAAAAATGCGGATGGAAAATTTGGTAATAGCAATAATATGCCTTATATTGTCCGATTTAGCTTGGAACTATAAACAATTCCGATTTAAAAAAAATAAAAATCCCACAAATAACGAAAATTTCGTAGATTCAAAAACTGATTGTATTATTTGAAACCGTGTTACAATGTATCATTTTTATACGTAAGAGCGGGTAGTTTTTGTTGTTTTTAAGTTTTCATTTAATTTCGGGAATAACGAATATCCATGCGTGAGTGTTGAGAAGTAGTGAGGCCTCTCCCGATGGCGATATTGATTTCTTCCATCTGCAAAGGCGACCCAGTCGCAGGCGTAGCACGACCCACAACAGATGTAGCTCTGAATCCGTGTTACGAAGAACGATGGAACCGAAAGTCTCGAGCTGGACGCTCTTCGTGTTCTTCCAGTTGGGCTGCCTCGCCCTGGCCAACAGGCACACGTCGACAAGGAGGAACGCCAACGAGTTCCAAACGTGCCTGGAGAGCTTCGACATCCACCAGGACAAAATCATCAGAACCCAGGATTCGAGGTCCATGGGTGCTAAATACCTGAACGAAAGGGACGTGGCGTCGAGGGAAGATTGCCTCAGGCTCTGCTGTGAAACTGACAGCTGTGATGTATTCGTTTTCGAAGAAAAAGTAAGCATTTTCCCGTCTCCAATCGATAACTGACATACATCCTGAGCGGGTATCACGTTGCTTCCACATTTGGTTACTGATAAATTTCATAGGCTTTCAGTTATTTAAATCTGATGATTTTCCGAGATAGAAAAACCAATCTTTCTAATGTATGTAAATTCTTACATCATTGAAATTATGTAAATTCTTTTAAACATCTCATTTCAATTAATATATTAATTATATTGTATATAAATGAAGTTATGCAATTTGAAAGATCACATCTTACGAGTAGAATGAAAAAAAATAATTAAGGACAGTCCAGCTTATAACAATTTTGTTTGAAGAACTGTACAGAATTTCACCATTTTATGAATATATCTTTTGTATGCCTTAAGTCAACTAACATAAATTTTCTTTGGCCTTAAATTTGGGCCTGACGAAAATTATCTTAACATAAGATTAAGACTTACTGTAGCGTAAAATAAGAAAACCTCTAGTAATATTTTAAGCAATACGTTCTAGTAAACGTTTTTCTCAAAATCGTGAGTTTTTTCCTTTTCATGGATTTTTGAAATGACCACGGCATCAGAAAAATGGAAATTTTCTGAATAACCAGCCATAAAAACTGAAATCTCGTTGGTTACGTTCTATATTTTTCTATATTCTACAGGGATAACGTAATTTTTCAAGATGGATTTAGGTCGTTGAGTTGTCTTTGTTAGGGCCATGGAAAATTTCTTGGGCCAACTTTAATGAAATCGAATTTGAACAGGAAAAATTGGCCGATTTCGTCATTCACTTTAAATTACCTTTTTCGTAAAATTCGAATATTCAAAAATCAGTTAAACCCTACAAAAAATCTTACAAATTAATTGTCAAACAAAAGCAAAACTAACATAGAGGTTAAAAAAAAAAAAAAAATAACAGCAGCAAATCCAACTTTTTGTCTAAACACAAACTATGTAAGTAATCTACAAATACGTTTTCCTCATCTGCAATCTGCAGGTAAACATACTTGTAGATTGTTTGCATAATTTGATGATGAACGTTTAAAGCTTGAAATCCAGATCACAACAAAACCAGTTTGCGAACAGAACCATACTTTTCAACTGTTGCAATGGCGTACTCCATCATAACCATTTTTTTAAATATATCAATTTCATATAGCATGAAATATTTTATTACTTTAAACAAGTGTTCTTTAAAAAAATAATTTATTGAAAAAACAAAATGAGCATGGAACAAGTCTGCCGAGTTGATACACCAAAAAAAAAATCGCAATCAAAGTGAATGGTGGCCCTCAATTATAATTATTTAAATAATTATTGAACTGACATTGTGTCAATGAATCTATCTTCACTCATTGTTTAATTGAACTACTCCTTCTGAACTTTCTGAACCGTTCCTCGATGAAGATGGGGTAGTGCCAAACACTTTTGAATAGTATGACAGAAGAGTGAAGAGAAGAAGAACCCTTTAAGTGACCCAATGCCGATTCAGTATGAGTTCACCCAACGGCAACAGCAGAGGTATGTTCGGGGTGCCGGTGTTTTTGAAAAAAAGCCCATTTGTAAGTATGTCGGGTTCAAACCCAGGACCTTCACCTTACAGTGATGAGCGCCGTGTCAATGCCTAAACCGTTGCGGCCACCGACGCCCCAGCAAATAATTATTATTTACAAATTTATAAAAGCTACAATAAATAAAGCTAATAATTTTATAAGCACAAAGCAGTGGATGGTAGATAAAAACATACTCTGACTGATTACTGATTACTAACTTATATATGCCTAACTCTGCATACAGATGTACATACATCACACAGGTGCAGAGCTGAGCTATCATTTCTCAGAGTCCCCCAGTAATTCTAGCTTCTATAAATTACAATAAATTGCCGGCAGACCTCAAGAATCACCCACCTCCACTTTGGCATTCCAACAAGTTATCTGTCCAGCCACCATGTAATGTGATTGAAATTTGAAATTTATTTTTATTTACAAAATATATACAGTATTTACAAAGAAATTAAAAGACTGGGCCTCAGGCTTCCTGCCTATATACCTGATCTGAAGTAAAAAAAGAACTAATTTAAACATATCTCAATATTAACACAGAGGGAAAAAAATAAAAATTAAAAAAAAAACCTTTACATTATATAGTTAATTTACTTGTGTGCTTCACTCTTTTGTACTTATATTTTTTGTAAAGTGTCTGCAAGGAGGCAGCTTCATAGTTAACAATATTTCTAATATTAGTGTATTCTCTAAGTACTCAAGCTTTGCAAAATCTTGATGTTATACTGTGGACTTGTGTAGAGGCACTAGCCCCCTCTAATACTGAATGCATGTAGTCTATTGGCGTCCACATGTAAAAGGAACCAATCAGTCTCAAGCATTTGTTCTGCACAACCTGCAACTTCCTGTAGTTGATGATACATGAGTATCAAACCGAGATACTTCACTTCTTTTTTCCATGGAATACACCTTCCATTTATTATCACAAAACAATCAACATTAGGCCTTCTGCGAGTGAACAGAATCACCTCTGTTTTTGACTCATTGGGTCTAATCCGCCACTTGTAAAAGTAATTAAATGTTTTCTCAAGGGCTACTGAGAGTATCTACTATTGTATCTACCCTGAAAGACGAGATCATAAAAGCTGTGTCATCAGCACATAGGGCACACTTTGGCTTAACTTTTAGTTCGGTTATACCATTAATAAATAAATTGAACAATGTGGGCCAAGGACAGAGCCTTGGGGTACACCAGCAGCAATTGGCCGAAAGTCAGTGCTTACGTCGGTAAGCGAGACACAAAATTTCCTATCTTCCAGATAACTCATTATTAAATAAACAATGTATTTGGGAAAGTTATAACTGATTAACTTAAAGACAAGCCCATTGTGCCACACGCAGTCGAACGCTTTTTCAACATCAACTAGTGCCATCCCAGTGTGCTTGTTCAAATTAAAATTGTGCTCAATAATATCTGTGACCCTCGCCAATTGTGTTGTGGTGCTATGATGGACCTGAACCCAAACTGTTCAGCCGCCGTAGGTTCTTCTCTTCAATAAACAGGTTGATTCTTCTTAATATCACGCGTTCAGTGATTTTGCCAAGACAAGGAAGAAGTGAGATGGGCCAGTAGCTACCAGCCACCATTATTTCAGTCCCCAGCACTCCCTCTAAAAAACATTCTTTCCTATTTACATACCATTCACTCAGTTAGGGTGATGGAGTGTACTCGATATTCCAATTCAATTCAAATTGAGGATCGATGGGGTTTACAATATTCTGCCATCAGCCCTCTCATAATACACAATCATGTTAATAAATACATTCAGTCTCAACGTACACAAAGAAACACAAGACGTGATATCTATAAAGTATTACATAAAGTAAAACATCCCTGTTTCCTATAAAAATTGTAACAGGGGACCATGATATCTGCACAATTCCTATGTTGGGTGGCCTTCCTACACACTCTCTATATGGAGCCAAGGAATGGCATCCTTCAATCAATTAGGACACATCGAGCACCTTTCTCTACAAGCTGGGAACACACACGGGCTTTGGCCCAAAAATGTCTATGTGTAATTTGCATGGCCTATTCTTAATCGGGTGAGGACGGCCCTTCTTCACTATCAAATCCTCCAGGGGCCACCTATAAACAGTACTTTAGATACATGAGAACTTCTCTGCCAACCCAGCCCACTGATGCTGTCACTTTCTTTTAATCACGTTTTTAGTCTCAATCAACGCATTTTAGTATCAAGGGCCAGATCTCAGTGGTTTGGTCTTAGCAATCATGTGCACCTTTTCATTACCCTTTAGAACTATCTGTCCAGGTATACAGACAACAACCACAATTTTGCTGAGATACTCTATACAATATATTCTTAACACGTAAAAATATATTTTGCGTTGAATTATGTTAAATAACATTTACAAATGTCATAGGTAGAACAGGGCCGCGGTAGCCGAGTGGTTAAAGCGTCAGACTCTCGGCTAGTAGATCCCGTGGTCATGGTTTTCTCTGTTTTTTTTTAAATTAACAAATGTGGGATCTTTTATCAATTATGTGATTTAATATTATCCTCGCCTATATCTAACAGTACATATGTTGTGTAAAATTATCAACAAAATAAAAATGCAAGAATTATATATATTTTCTTTTTAACAATATAAATTATGTTCATGAACATATTTGTTTTTAGAGCCCAGGAAGTTGCTATTTGTTTGAATGTGGCACCTCAGAGGATTTCAAGTGCAAGTTTACCAAACACCAAAATTACACAAGTGCTGTTCTAGCCGTTAATCGTCAACTCACTGAACTTGAGTCCCAAATTAAGTTCACACAGCATGAGCATGAGCTTACAAAATTGAGGTTTGTGATTTAACACGTGACTATGTTTTTGTTTTTTTATTTTATATAATATCAAATTGGTAATTTCAGAGAGCCTTCAAACCCTTTGCCACCGCCTACAACTGTCAAGTCGATCACACAACCCCCTAAAACAAAAGAGCTGGCAGAATTCCCACTCGACAATGGCAACAGCCAGCAAAGTGAGTCTGTAGAGTTGTTAACTGTTTAAAAAAAAATTAAAGCCTGTGGTTTACAGAAAAGGGATGCAGTAAGTACCAGTTCGAATGTCACACGAGAAAAGAATGCATCGGAATATATAATGTGTGTGATGGAATACCACAGTGTGCAGACAGCAGTGATGAAGCTGCAGAATTGAGATGTCCAAGTCAACGTTAGTTGTCTTTAAAAAATAAAATAAAAAAACTCAGGGTAAATGTTTAATTTTTTGTCCAGAGAGCACAGTTGCACCAGTTAAAACCATCTTAGTCACTCAAACATCTCCATCTAAGAACGAAGCACCTCAAGAAATATATCCAAACACAGACAATCGCAACCCTGAGGTTCTAATTTCAGACAATAGCAAGATGCAGTGGCCTCAGCACCAGCAGTATGGTGAGTACTAACAATTTAATTATTAACTACTAACTAAAACATATTTTAAACAGTTGCAGAAGGTTCACAAATGACTTCAAATGTTATGTCAAATGGGCAGAATGTCGTTCAAGTAAACGCCCAGAATCCAAGAGCAGGATATGGAAGAGAAGGAGAAGGGATGTTGAACTACCATCAAGACCCTCAGCAATGGAAAGTTCCATATCATCAAAACTCAGGTAAGATATAATAATAATTGTTATTTAAACATTTGAAATGCATATTTATATCATTAATTGTTGAATTTATTCAGGACAAAGCCAAATTTTTACTCATAAAGGAAATGGACTTGTGCCTCAATCTGACCATTACCAACATCCTTATCCACCTCCAGAAATTCCAAGGTATTTGAAAACAAAACAATTAATAAAATCATGACGTTGAAAAATCGCTTGGGTTCAAGGGTGATGGGAGGATATAATGAACAGCCCAACGATCTTTCGAAGTTCTACTATGAGAATGGACCATACCGAATGTTTCCTCAGAACCAACCTATAAACAACAACTGGCAATCTGGGAGGAGAATCCATGGTTTGGCTTATTCGTTATTTAACATTGCATTTTTGTAACATCTGCGCGTTTTATGTTTCCAGATGGATCAATAAATCCGATGGAAGAGGGTTCTGTAAATCGTGTGGAAAATATGCCACTGCCGAATAACAACCTTGGCCCTGATTATTATTATGAAGAAGCGTACAGAAACAGAGCACCACCGTATAATGTTGGCCAACAGCCTGTTTACAACCCGCAAAGGAATCCAGCTTCTTTTCAAAATAAGGTAATTCTACATTTTCTAATTATTTCTTTATAAATTAATATAACACACTTTTAGGAAATAAAACAACGAGTCCTGACTGATGAAACTCCTAAACAAGTTGCAAATGGGCAAAAAGAAATTATTTCAACAATTGCACCTACATCTGTTGTTAAAGGTTTGAATTAAATTACTAATATAATAAATAAAAAAATTTAATCAAGCATTATAATTTGCAGAAAGTATCAGTCATGACATTGAAAGTTCACACAGGAAAGTAGAAACACTTTCTGTGGAATCAAAAGTCAAAGAAACGCTTCTTGATGAACAAGAAGGTCATAGTACCAACCCCAGCGGTGCTATTTTATCACTAGCGATGGGTTAGTGGGACGCAAATTGCGTTGCAAATTAAATGCAATTATTTATTCCTACATACTATGGGGTTATATTTTTAGGTCTTTGTATAACAGCAATCATGATTATCTTGGTCGGGTGCAGGATGAGGGTGGTAAGGAGGCGTATGAGAAGAGGAGGCAAATCAAGCTATGCGCACGATGCCGATTTTTTGGTCAATGGAATGTACTTATAAATGTCTTAATTTCACTAGGCATTTTGTAAATAAAATGTTGTTGAGAAGTTTAGCATTTTTAGAGATTGTTTATAATACAAAGGGTAATTTTGGCATATCCGTTTTGGAACTATAAAATTGTGATGTCAAAAGTATATTTTTCCTTCATTTTATAAATTAATTTATAGCATTATTAAACAATTATGTGCTATGACAATTAAACAATGCATGTATCTATTAAACTCACTCATTATCAGTGAGTGGTACAAGAACATATTGTAAAAATTGGCAAATTACATTTAGAAAACGCTCCCATGTTTAAAAATACACTGTAAAATATTACTATTGATTTTATACATAAATATATTGAAAATAAATTACAGTTGTTATAAAATGTTGTTTATTTATAGAAATACCCAATCCCTTTAAAAGATTTAATTTGATTTTTTTTTTTTTAAATCTGACTTTTTAATAAGTTTGCAAATGCATGCAACCACTATAGTCATAATCTGCCTTGAAAAGATTAATAATGAAGGGGGTATAGAAAAACAGAAAATGACAGCTGGCGAAAGGGCCGGCAAGTCAGTTTGAGCAGGAAACACAGTCAGTCATTTCATTACAATCACTTATGCAATTGACCTATCAAATAAAAAGAGAGTGGATGGTAGATAATGAATGTGCACGTCAATGCCACATCCACATTCTTTAACGTGCCTGGGGTTTGAACACAACCCAGGTGAACCCTCAGGAATCTCTCATTTTATTCGATCTCCCTGTTACAGTTAACTGTAGTTAATTATCATGCCATTTGTTAAGCCAGTTTCCCTAGATCTTCCGTTCTTTCCATAGGTCTAGATGTAGATACCGTACCCTTGAAAATAATTCTCTACATCATAAAAAAGTCAATCTTCCTAAAAGTCCTATAATAGAGATTCACACAATAAACTAAAGCTTAAGTGCAAAAGGGAAAATTCCTAAGATTGCAAATAAGGAAGGGGAAAAACAACTTGAGGATAGAAAATGAGATTGGAATTAACAAAAGTTTATTTTTAGAATGAGTAAAACTCAATTTAAATTCTCTTGTTATTAAGTAAAATACTCTTTTGTTTGGATAACATTTTCTGGCTCTTGGGTTTCATGATCCAAAGTTAGTAATAAATCCTGAGAAAACAGTGGTCATGATTTTAAAGCAAGAACAGAATCATGTTGACCCAGCTCATGATTGTTTTTTAAAAGCGTGTGCCATTTTTTATATTTTCAATTTGAAATTAAAACAAATAGTATTTGGACTAGTTTTGTTTTCGAACACTTTTGAAACTTATGATAGTGTCTATTCATGAATTAACAACATTAATACTATTTCATTGATGATTATTTTATATCAGCTACAGAATGGTTTTGTAATTTAAAAAAAATCTTGTGTACAACAGGATTTGGTTGCATAATTTGCTAAAATTAAAGAGAATTCCAATTAGATAGAGATTTAATCAAATCATTGAATGAAAATAAATATTGAAAATTGTGGTGACATAAAGGAATTAAACTCCTAATAGTTATCTAGAAAAATATTGACAAAATGGATTTCTAGATGTTTCCTGGCACAATGTATGCTTTCTTTTTGGGTGCCAATCAACAAAGCAAAATATTTAATCATATAATATCATTGATTTATCATGTATTATAAGATTATGATTGTATATAAATCGGTGAAACATCCGAGAAGGAAGTAAGTGCATTTACAATTTGCGAAAAACTTTCTAGTTCTTTTCATTATTGTAAATTTGAACCAATTAGTCATTATTATTTTACAATAAAATATTTTTGGTGTAGTCTTCTTGATAAATTCTGACAAAATGGTATAAATTGTTTCAAAATTGTAATTTTTAATATTGCATACATAAATTTGCTTTAATTTTCAATTACAGCTCAATACAAGCCAGATCTCAGAGGGTGAAAAACCCAGTGATGATTTGATCTCTTACATCATAAATTCAGGCTGTGATGGAAATCAAGTTAAAGACATTAAAAAAATACAGAACATCATCGACCTCGGTGAACGACTGGGTCAGTTCTCACCTTTGATCGGATGCCTGGAGTTAACGTGTTGCCTGTCGGTAAGAAAATTTATATTCACATTTGCATGAACATGCTTACAATATAATGTTTTTAGCACTTTGAAGCACTGGCCAAACATGAACATAACAAGATTCGCATAAAAGCAGTCAAAACTCTGAGGATGATCACTTCGTTGCAAACCGATGAGCAACTCAATGAAATGTTTGTGCCACTTGTGGAAAGACTTTCGACCGACAACAAGTTCCCATCAAAGATTTCTGCCTGCAGCCTATTTGCTGTCTGCTATTTAAGAGTGAATGACTCATTAAAAGGTAGAATTAAAAATAAATACATAATTAAAGCGCAGATTATGATTATGCCTCAGGGTTTTATTATTTTAACCAACTACCTTAATTCAAAATTTTCAACCAATGAAAGTTTAACTTTTTAGAGATGTGCTGCTAAAGAATTAGCTTGAAAATATAATATTGTTTATTAGTTTGAGCTATTATTTGTTTTGTCTGAAAATAAATATTATTGGGCTTCATTTTAAGTGTATTTTTATTTTTAGCAAAGCTGAGATCTCTTTACTGCAAGCTGCTAACGGATTTTAGCATTGCAACACGAATGGAAGCGATAATCAGACTGACTGAATTTGTAAAGGACATAGAGCCTGAGCACATCAAGTCAGATCTGATTCCTTTGTTGTCACCTTTAATAGAGTTTCATATGGTTGTTTTGTGAATCTAAATTTTAAATCTTTCACAATAAAAATTTAACAAAATGTAAATTTAATTGTTTTAGGATCTCATGCGGCTTATTGTATTAGAGGTGTATATGTGTTTTGCTTCTGTGGTCGACCAAGATGATATCGTCAAACTCATCATGCCAAAATGGCATAAATGTTTGACAGACTCATCTTGGAAAGTTCGTTACTTCGTCGTTGAACATTTCACCGAAGTGAGTTGACAAATCGCCTGTCAAATGTTGCATTATATATTTTTTCTTTTTAATTTAGCTTCAAAAAGCAGTAGGCCCTACGATTACACGTTCTCACCTAATTCCAGGCCTACAAATCTTATTGGCAGACCCACAGGTGGCAATGAGCACTCTGGCTCTGTCTAAAATCCCCGAAATCCTCCTCGTGATTCATCCAGTCGATAGAGACATGGTGTTCATGAACGATATCTTGCCTTGTATCAAAGAAATGATTCTTGACACTAACCTGGATGTCAAAATAATGCTAGTAAGAATTATCATGGAACTCACTTCAATTATCAGGAAAGAAGAGTAAGTTACTCATTTAAATTATTTGCATAGATAATTATCAAATGAAAAATATATTACTTGAACAAAATTAATATTATCATTAATTTTTTATTTGGTTTAGAAAAAAACTTCAATTAATTATTATTGGATTAAAATTAAAATTGTTAATTTATATATTTTTTAGCACATTGAAAGAGCTTCTTACTTTACTAACAACTCTACTTAATTATGACCAGTGGAACAGTCGTAAATCTGATATGTGGACCACCATCATATCTTATTTAGGCACCATTACTAAAATAGTAGACTCTGAGCAGGTCAATTTTAACAATTAATTTTTATAATTAAAAAACATAATAATAATATACATTGCTCTAAGTCAATCAAACATTTTTACAGCTTGTCCAATTGCTATCACCTTTTATAATAAAACAAGCTGAGGACAGTAATTGGAGAGTCCGCTTGGCCATTATTAAAAGCATGCCGTTGATGGCAAAGAATTTTGGTGTCAACTATTTTAACAAGACATTAAAATCAATAAGTGTTGCAGGGTTTGTCGACAAAGGTGAGAAAAAATATTTTTTTAAATCAATAATACTTATGAGTTTTTTTCTTTAGTTTACATCATTAGACAAACAATGGCTTTCAACTTGAAAAGTATAGTTGAAAATTTTGGTTCCAAGTGGGCACAGGATTATATCATTCCAGAAGTTCTTACCTTATCCAGTCACAATAATTACTTGTATAGGCTGACATTCTTATTTTGTATGAAAGTAAGTATTTTAAAATCTTCAAAATAGTAATTATATTAATATTTTTATTGTTATTTTAAGGCTTTAATACAAGCGTGTAGCAGGCATGTTAAAATTAACATATTGCTCCCGGCTCTTTTAAAAATGTCATCTGACCCAGTTTCAAACGTAAGATTCAATGTTGCAAAAACATTAGGAGAAACTGGCCATTTTTTCAAACCCAAGTGAGACACTAATTGTCAGTTTTAACTTTTTGAAGTGTTATTATATATTTTGCCATTTTTTTGCAGGCACATTCAATCAGAAATAAAACCAATCTTAGAAAAACTCATGGAAGATAAAGATCTTGATGTTAAGTACTTTGCATCAGAAGCCATGAAAACAATTGCAAGTATTTAATGTACAAGAAAATATAATACATAATTATTTTATTATCAAGTTACAAATACTTTGATTAAACCTAAAATATCTACATTGTGTACATCACTGTATAAATTCATTTTCACATCTTACATGTATTTGTATAATTTAAATGATGTTTATAGATCCCAGGCCCTGAAGTTGTTCTTAGTAAAGATCGAAATGTTGGCATGAAGAGAAAATGTTTTTCTAAACCTACATCACACAAGACCACATCTCACAATCTTTAAATAATCATTATTTTATTATTTGTACATTTGTAAAATGTGTTAATAGTGATGTAATATAAGTAATAATATTTATTAAAAAAATTGCTGAGTTCACAGTCAAAATGTAACCTTTTGATAATTACACAAACCTGTATAAAATAAAGTTTCATTTTATTAACTTGTCTGCCTTGTCTCAAATGAGGTAGTTATATTAATGGTACCCGACAATTGTATTACTGGGACTACAGAGGATGAGTGGTTAGACGGTCTGGTGCTTGTTTGCCACACTAGCCATTCTGAGTTCGATTCCCAGTTTAGACTTTGGAATTTTATTTGAGATTAACATAGGAAAGTGGATAGACACCCGATGGGAATTGGACTTTAAGTCCTCCTGTACTTTAAAATATACCAGGTAACCAGAAAAGTTAGTGCAGTTTTACATTTGTTATTGTTTTAATACCATTAGCCAACATTTCCATTTACATAGGAGGATTAGATGTTTGAAACACATACCAAGGGGGATAATACATAAGTTTGTAAAGAAAAAGCGAATAGTTCACTATGAATTAAATTTTTTTTTCTCTCTCTCGTGGCTTTAAAACCAAAATAATCATGCATGCTGTATGATTTTAAGTTCAGCACTAAGCCAGTTGGGCAGCTTTAACGTTTGTATTGTGTTCGATGAGGAAACAAGAAGTGAATAAGGGAACAAGAAATGGAAGATGGTCTGGTAGCTGTCCTGAATGGTAACGAATCGAGGGATGCTATCAAACTTGATTAGAGTCACACATGTGAGGAGCTTGCAAGTGTTCAACATAACCAACGAAACTATTCGCTATAGCTTAAATTGTCTTGGGAAGGCGTGGAAGCTAAGCAAATGGGTTCCTCATAATAATGTCAAGGAATTTACCTCTAAATCTTTTGAATATTGTGATATAAAGCCTAGTGCTTTAAACTTGTGAATTTTATTTTATCAATATGTGTATAAATTTGTACTTAAAGATTTACACCAAGATCATTTGTGATGTTTTTTGAGTTTTTTTCATTGATGTGAAAACCAAATATTCACGTACCAAAGGTGATGCTTTACATTTGGTTGAGTATGGCAGGTGTTTGCACTACAAACTTCTGCCGCATGGCCAAATCGTCTCCAAAGAAATCTATTCAAACCAAATGCAACGAGTAACCCTTGCCCCAGCCCAAAAATTACCTACACTCGTGAATAGAAAAGGTGTAATTTTTCATCAGGACAATGTGAGACTTCATACTGCTAGAACAACAAAGGAGCTGATAATGAAGCTAGTCCTTCCACACCCTCCTTACCACCAGACCTGGCCCCATTTCACCTTTTCTTACCAATGGACAATTATCAAGATAAGAAAATATAACAAAATGAAGTAAATTTCCAATGTTGTTAATCAATGACTTAATTTTAAATAAAACAAAGCTGCCAAATGAAATAACTATTTTTGATTAAAATACTTAAAAATGGGATTTTGGATAGAAATTGTTTAAAATGTGCTTATATATCTAGTGAAATTATTATAATGATAATATATTTGAATGATATATTCACGTCCTGCTATAGTTGTATGCTGTATTTTGTCATGTCAATAAGGCTCAAGCAGTGGGTAATGATATATTAAATGTTCCATGTTTGGTCAGTTAGTTGGTTGCGAGTACAATTCGAATTTTCAATAATATGAAATCTGTTCAAGTAATATCTAGTTCTTCTGTCTTGTTAGTATCTGAGTTAGCTTAGTTTATATTTATTTGTTTATTTATGGATCGAAATCCACTATAAAAAGACGTTTTACAATAACAAAAAATAAAAATAATATACAAAATAATGTATGCAAAAATACAAATAATATATATAAAAGGAATAAGGACAAATATACATGGTAATATTATAAATGGTAAATATAAATGATAAATATAAAAATACAATTAAAGAGTAAAAAACTGAACAAATACAAAAATGAAAGACATTATTACTAATCAAATTAAGGCAAAGGAAACAAAATAAAGCTGAAAGTCAATTGAAACTATAATATTATTGTATATTGTCAATAGTAGGTACATATTTAACGAAAATGATCTTTATTGTAGATATTTAATAAGACTAGAGAGCAAGATTTAGGTGAACCAGTAAATGAAATAAATTGTAATACATTTTTAACAGTATGAAATATAAAAACATTTTAAAAAAATATAAACTGGTAAGAAAATTCAACTAAAGTAGGGTTGTAGGATATGGTTTTGCACAGAACTATTGAAGAAGTCAATGCTATTGCAGATGTTGTTACTCTTGATCATCATTCTGTGTAGAGGAGAAGAGCATGTAGTTAGAGCTTTGGAATTCAATATAAAATAGTTTGTGGGTTTTAAGAGAGTGCGAAGGGATGTGTAGCTGTAGCTGAGAGAGGAGAGAAGGACTATCAATGAGATTGTTTAATAATTTAAATACAAAAACAATATCAAAGTAATCCCTTCTTAGTGCCAGTTCAAAAAGTTTAAATTCAGGGCAGATTCCAGGGTAGGCAGAGTTCAGAGGAAGATTAAGTTAGAAAGTTTTTTTAAAAATTTGTTTTGTACAGATAGAAGAATTTTTTGATAATTTAGATAGAATGGGTTCCAAACAGTGTAGCGCATTCTAGTATGGGTTGTACTAAAGTTGTATAAAGATGGACAAAACATAGAGGATTTTTAAATTCATAGGTGTTTCGGAGCTTGAAACCTAGCATCTTCATAGATCTATTTTTTATTGAAGAAATATGTTCTTTAAACTTGAGCTTTTGATCAAAAGTACACCAAGATTCTCTACAACCTCAACTCGTGTTAAAAGAAAATCATGGAGAGTGTAGTGATAAAGAAAAGGTTGTTTCCTATGAGAGAATGTAATTGTGTAGCATTTGGAGACATTGAGAGCAAGTATGTTATTAGAGCACCAGGTTAGCACATTATTGATAGAATTTTGTAATTGAAAGCAATCAGAAGCTTGTAGTCCATCTTTAATAGTCTAGCTTTTTCCTGTAATGTATATCAGAAAGTATTTCTTTCTCTTCCTTTAGTGCTCGTGTACCACTCCTCTTCCCATTTCTTCTCTGTTATCTTTATATTTTCTTCTTGTAAGTAAGATAGCCTATAGTTTATAACTGCATTTCCATCTGCAGCTGTCTCCTTCACTAATTCGTCTGTTATTTCGTTACCAACATCCCGAAGTGCGCCTTTGCCCACTCAATTCTTACTTTCCAGCATGATGTCGAAATCTGATGTCAGGTATCAGCCAATAGATTTCTCTGTTATTACTGCTGAATCGTGCTCTGATGAAATATGTTTCTTTTGGAGCCATATAATTGCGTGAAGGATCACAAACAATTCAGCCTGATTATTACTGCAGCATAAAGCTGATTTAAATTTCTTGTCTTCTACAATAATTTATCCTTGATACAAATGGACAACCAATCCCTTTTGTTTTACTCCCATATGTAACTCATTCTGCAGACTGTCATCCTTACGAAGGTCGACCTCTACATCAGTTCCTGATGTAGTTTTTAGATCCAACTAATTCTTCGTATATTTTTATACCATTCGTACCCAGTTTGTTTAATTTATAAATTTCTAGCAGGTATACATCAATCGTGATACATATTTTATTTTTGCTGTTTTGTTTCGTTACACCAGGTGCACCATACTTGTCCAGTTGTCCTAGCGTCACTGAAACGAAACCGTTGAGTTTAAACTTTTGAACATAACGATCAACACCACTAGGCAGCACGTGGTTCCTTTTTTCGAGGAAGTCTCCCGTTTTCCAGAAACCGTTTCTTTTAAGTTTTTTTTCATTTACACCTTCAAAACGTCAGATTTATTCGATAAAGACATCGATTGTTTCTCCAGTAGCTTTTGAAGTTATCACATGGTCTTTGTATACGAATTTGCAATTTGCACTTTGTTTATACATAAGGTGGGACGCGGTAATTAAACATTAAAATGAAATCTTCCGCGATGTAAGTTAAAAATAATTCTATTTATAATTTTTTTCTCGACTAAACAAGTTTCTTTTATATTATGTTTCCATCGTCTTGTATGCCGCCAAACTCAGCCTTGGGGGTGGATAAGTCCAAAGCAGAATCTTCATTTTTGAAATGAAATACTGCTTGAAGGGTGTTCTGAAAGCTAGAAATACACAATTAACAATAAATAAATACATAATAATGGAAATAAACCCAGAAATAAGCAAGGATGTATGTAAACAACGTCCAATCTTTCTGGGCTGTGGTATGAGATAAAACATCAATATTTACTGTTTACTGAACAGCTATTATTAATCAATTTTTCATTTTGAAAATATACGTTAAAATCCAGGGTTATGGCTCAGCAGGTGTTTGTAAACATTTAGTTTATAAAAAATGGTTCAGATCAACTCACAATTGATTTTTAAAATATTGCTTTTTGCACATCAACTTGAAGATCATTTGTCAATGTGATTTCATACAATACAGCAAGTTTGTCTTGGTCAAAAATGACCAAACTACAGGATTGTCGCTCTGCAGAGCTCACCAATAAATTTCACAATGGTGCTAATCGTTGATATCAAGATTTTTGTCAAAGCTTTGTCGTTGAAATGCGGAAACAACCAGGACATCTGCAACTGCCTCTCCTCACTGGTTTATTCTGTCCAATGTGTTGCATTTGGCCACTTTCAGTAGTGGGTTTGCTATTTTGTCAATCATACCGGTGATCAGAAATGACTCAATTACAGATCATTGCTCTATCGAGCCAGTGGTCATTCAAACTCGACATACAAATGGATTTTTTCTTTAAAAACAGCTGCACAACGAGGGTTCATATAACCTCGTAGTTGAAACACTATCGTAAAAAAGAAAACATTTTTGTAAAATCTCTTGATGAAATGCGGGAACAACCAGAACATCTGCAACTGCCTCTCCTCACTGGCTTATTCTGTCCAATGTGTTGCATTTTGCCACTTTTAGTAGTTGGTTTGCTATTTTGTCAATCATACTGGTGATCAGAAATGACTCAATTATAGGTCATTGCTCTATAGAGCCAGTGGTCCTGCATTCAAACTCGACATACTCACAAATGGATGTTTTTCTTTAAAAACACCAGCACAACGATGGTTCATAAACCTCGTAGTTGAAATACTATCGAGAAAAAAGAAAACATTTTTGTAAAATCTCTTGATGAAATGCGGAAACAACCAGGACATCTGCAACTTCCTCTCCTCACTGGCTTATTCTATGCAATGTGTTGCATTTTGCCACTTTCAGTAGTTGGTCTGTTATTTTGTCAATTATACCATTGATCAGAAATGATGCAAATACAGCTTTATCACCCCATTGACTTCAACAATAAATCTCGCAACAAATGTTTTTATTGAATCCCTGTTCAATTTGTTAATTTGATGAAATTATTTTAGCACTATGCTGTTCAGAAAGAAATGAAACTACAATAATAAATAGTGATTTTTAAAAAAGCTTATTGCAACACTATTTTTAACAGAAAGAAGTTTATTGTCGCAATATAATTTTGCTACTTTATTTCAAGGTGTTCATGAAATTTACGTTTCTACTTTCATCCAGAACAATTTATGCAGGTGTAATTGATAGTAATTTCTAGTAATCTCCATTCTAGTAATAACTATAAATTTGTTGATGTTTATAACAATATTAAGAATTGAAAATATTGCAATAAAATATTCTTAAGAGAAAAATTGTAGTTTGTTTGTTTCTAGTCTGCCAGAAACCTTTTTGATATGTCAAACATGATTCAACATTTTGCCATTTTCATTGGTGGGTTTGTGATTTTCAAACTTAACTTAGAGAATTTAACACAGAAGAATAACCACTGAAAATTGGCTAAATGCAGATACATGTCTGCCAGACAAAATAGCACGTGTAATTGGTCTAAGATGAACAGAAACGATGTTGGCAAGGAAATTATTCTTCATAATAGTCCGTATCGGTAAACTTCAGCTGATAAATCATTACTCAGAAAATACTCAAATCACCTTTGGTTACTGTTCTTTCAGTGCTTAACTGTAATTATTCTTACCGTTTCAGAAGGATTAGAGATCTAGGCTTTAGTGAGCACTACCTGTACTTGCAAACGAGCATTGATAAATTAAGTTTAATCAGCCAGATTATAATATGCAACATACAGTCATCTATATAAAGAATTTAAAAAATACAAAATTGATACTCAAACCTTCAATTTGTATTGGAAGGAGGTAGAATCATTACATTTCCTTTCAATTTCCCCGTTTATGATAATATTAGAAAAAAAGTTGTTCGTATTTACCTCGCAGATGATGCTTGTTTGACTTATTATGCCTTAAAACATTGCTAGAAGCTAAACAATTAAAGTTTGTAATTTTAGCACTAAAACTGAAATTTATTGTAAAAGAGTAACTTAATTACAAAACAATGAAGGGTAAAGAGTAGAGTTATATTTAGTTATATTTACTTTTCACCCAACAGTACCGAGGATAATTAGTGTTATTTTCTCATTTTTGGATGCACTTCACTTATAGCAGATGTTCTTTTTTGTGTTTTAATATTATTATTATTTGTTGCTAGTATTAACATTTCTTAATTTTTCTAGACATATTCAGTTTTCACTTAAGAATATCTTCATGCAATATTTTCAATTCTTGCTAAAAGCATGAACAAATCTATAGTTAATACTAGGATGGAGATTACTGGAAATTGAGTCAATCACATCTGCAGAAATTGATCTGAATGAAAATAGAAATATAAATTTCACGGGCACTATATGATTAGTGATGAACGAATGTGAATTAAAGTAGAGGCACTAGTGGCTGTAACGATTGGCTTTTTCTCCAAAAACATCAAAAACCCTGGAGATTTATATGACCTCTACTTACACAAACCACAGCATAAAAAATGTTTTTTGTTTTATAATCAATAAATTTTACTGAAATTATTCATTTTTAACAAATTGTAATTCAATTAGAGGTATTGGCATTTATGATTTTGTGAAATGTTTATTAACAAAATGACTTAATTATTATAATTACATTTCATTATGTATATATGATTTTATTAACAAAATTGCTCTTATTCTTCCACAATTCAAATAATCTTATCAGTTAAAATCTCATTAGGCGTCAACATTTCTTTTCCAGAGCAAAGCGGATAAAAAGGCACCATATATCAAGAAGTAAAGTTATAAAGGAACCTATTCAAGTATTCTGCAGGGTGCGTCCACTACCCAACCCATCCGATCAAGCATGCATACAGATCATACCACCATTCTACCTACAACTGGTACCACCAACGTACAACCGACAGACCGGAGTGGTGTGTTAAAAAAAGAAATATATACATTTTGAATATTGAGTAATACCTTTTTAAAATCTAGGCGAGGGAGTTCCGATACACTTTCAAGCAGATTTTTGATGAAATCACTGACCAAAGCACAGTTTTTGAAACAGTCGCCCTCCCCTGTATTGAGAACGTTCTCCATGGCAAGAGTGGTCTCATTTTCACTTATGGTGTTTCTGGGAGTGGCAAAACTTACACAATGACTGGGACTAACCACGACAGCGGCATTTTGCCAAGGAGCCTGGATGTTATTTTCAACAGCATCTCTACCCGGCAGGTCAAAAAGTGTACATTTGTCCCTGACAAGTTGAACAGTTTTGATATCCAGTCGATGGAAGACGCCAAGGCCGATAGAGATAGAGCTCTTGTACATAAAATTTCAGCAACCTACAAAAACAAATCTAAACAAATGTAATTATGTTTTAAATTATTGAAAAAAAAATTTACCCTTCATTTTTTATTTTATTTTAGTGAGAAATTTGAATCAGAAACAGATGTTACAGCGAGGACGAGGGACCATCGAATAATAAACATCATGGATGAGGATAACTGTTTTGCAGTTTTTGTCACTTATGTTGAAATATACAATAATACAGTTTATGATCTCTTAGAGGATATTTATGAAGAAAATCCAAAACCAAAGTAATTTTACATTAGTACATTTCAATTGTTGGAAAATCATGTCAAAGTACTTGAAAAAAAAAGGGTAATATTTGATCTGATGTATCAATCTGTTGAAAGTCGTCTTATGTCCTTAAACTGGTGAAATGTAGACTAGCATGACCAAACTACAATATTTGATCTATCAAAGAAAAATGCCTGATGGCTTTATTTTGTCATACAACTAAGAAATTAATTATTTTTGTATATATTAGGCCTTTACAATCTAAAATTGTGAGAGAAGATTCAAACCATAATATGTTTGTACATGGAATCAACGAGGTTGAAGTTGGCTCAACTGATGAAGCGTTTGAAGTGTATTACAAAGGGCAGAAAAGAAAGAAGATGGCTCAGACCTCCTTGAATTCTGAGTCAAGTAGAAGCCATTCTGTTTTCACAATTCGAATCGTCCAGGTAACCATAGTGTGCAAATAGCTATCAAATTTATGTTTACAACTAAGTTTTCAGGCTCCTCTCGATGAGACTGGTGAAAATGTCATTAACGACAGGTCCTGCATGGTAATAAGCCAGCTTTCGTTAGTTGACCTAGCAGGTAGTGAAAGGACAAATAGAACCAAAAATACAGGCCAGCGCCTTCGAGAAGCTGGCAACATCAACAATTCACTTCTCACTCTACGCATGTGCATCGAAATAATGAGGGAGAATCAGAAAGGCGGGAACAAAGTGGTGCCTTATAGAGATTCTCGGCTTACACATTTGTTCAAAAACTTCTTTGAAGGCGAGGGTCAGGTTTCGATGATCCTGTGCATTACACCTCATGTGGACGATCTTGAAGAGTTGATGGTATTGTCAATTTTGTTAAAATGCGTGCACCATTTCCATTTTTTTCATGTTTTCAGCATGTTTTAAAATTTGCTGAGATGACTAAGGAGGTACAAATTTGCACTCCAACAACTTCAAAGAAAACATGCTTTACCTCTGGTAGAAAGAGATACAAGGTAAAATTAAGTTGCATTTATCAACCAATACTGATTATTTAATTCCAGTTCCATTCAGGAAGACTTACCGTCCAGTTACCCATACAAATTGAGTGTTGTGGACGAGGGGTCATTTTTTTAATATGTTACATGTCTATTAAAATAATCTATTGGTAGCACGTTTTATACCACTCATGAATATATTATTTAAAATATATGGTTTTAAAATTGTAAGTTATAAAATTAGTCATTAATAAACTAGTTAAGGTGTCTTAGCACTGACTACTGGAAAGAAAAAAAAATGGTCCATTATTATGTAGTATGGCAGCGTTACAGATATCCAAGTGATCACTGACAGATGAATCAACTAACAAGAATTGGCCCAACTTAAGGCTGAAATGTAAAAACAATACACTATTTCGCTTACTAAAACAGACAAATTTTTGTGGCAAAGATCCTGTGGTATAACGACCGCAATTCCCTCAATACATAGTGATAATACTTAGGTCAAATCAAATTCTGACATAGCTAAATTGTTTCCAGAGCATCTTTCGACAATATTAACTCTACATCATGATATACTTGACCATAACCACCAGCATAATATTGAGCATGATTTGTAACTCTCTCTCCTCCTCCTAAAGCATTTACTCCATCAAATATACAACAATATTAAACTACCTCCTCAAAAAGCTCCAGAATATGATATAATTACAACACTTGTATTAAAAAATTTGCTCCACAGAGGCTTACCTAACATACCTATACAAAACTGACTTAGGACCACTTATTTTCCATTGCAATGGAAGTGCTTAATAATTAAAATGTTTCATAAGCCAAATAAATTATCTTCCTAGTTCCTATCAGACCATTGGTCCCCATCTACCCTTGCCAAAATTCCAGAAAAACTCCTCTAAAGTGTAACAATATTGGTTCCTTCCTTGGACAAAAACAGCATTGCTTGGGTGTCTTTCTTGATTTAGAACTGGCCTTCGAATTTCGGGTTGAAGTACCTCATACTGAGATCATACCTGACAGACCAATTTTTCCAAGCCTGTTAGGGGATTGAATTTTCCCCTTATGTACATATTAGGGCTGATGTTTTTCAAGGAACGATACTTGGTCCATTTCTTTTTTTTTTAGTATACACAGCAAATATTCCTACACATATTAACATTTCAACACATACATTCCCTGAATCAGTGATTCTTCCTCATAGTGCATACTTCTCTACAAACACTCAACAATTAACACATAAATGGATTAACAGAACGGTTCACAAAATGGGGAATGAAAATAAATCTAAGAAAGGTGCTGATAAATTTTACTTCGCTTGAAAGTTTGTGTCATAACCTTGTGTGATATCTTGGATTTTTCATGGATAAATTACTTATTTGGAATCCCCACACAAGACTGAAAAGACAAGAAACAAACAGCCATATAAATGATTGAAAATACTACTTGACTCATGATCAAAATTAGACATTGAAATTGGAACTTATGGAACAGGAAACTTGTTTCCATAACAAATAATTATTTTCAGAGATAATTCAAAATTTCTCTAACTATTGGTTAGTTGTGTATTAAATTTAATAATTAACACAAAAGTGTTTTATTATTATATATTTATTTTTAATTTAATCCATTTAAAAATGTGGCTTATTTTGTATATTTTTAAACAAAACTGTACAAAAATATACTTAATGGCGAAGTATTTCATCTAGTAGTGTGCTTATTTTAGAACAGCGATTCAGATGTAGAAGAACAAATGTCATCTGTATCATTACACAGTAGAAAAGATGCTGTTAGTGTAAGTAAACTCAGCCGCCTGAATTTGTATTGAACTAATTATTATAAACTCCAGTACTTACAATAATTAAAATTTAACTATTTTTTACTTTCAATACTCGCATGTAGTATTTCGTATAATCACTAGGCATTGTCTTAGTAGTCTAGTTGCGGTTATTGGCTGCTCCATTAATTATTATGAGGGATTACTTCAAATAAACCACTAAATAATAGACATTATTATAAATATATTAATAAACTTTTTTATATAAACCATTCAGATAACTAATCAACTCACAAAAGATTGATTCAACTGTAATTATACTTCAATTAATTATTATTTTTATGTAAGGTCTTGGTTGAGTTGAAAAAGTGTCACGAGCGGGATTCGAACCCACGACTTCACTCAATACATTTGCTCTAACCACTTGAGCTATCGTGACTTTATTGAGTCGTGGGTTCGAATCCTGCTCGTGGCGCTAACTTTTTCGTCTCAACCAAGACCTTATATAAAAAGAATAATTAATTGAAATAATTATCATGGTCAATTAGGTCACTAAACATAATGAATTAATATGTAATTATACCGTCGCATTCATTTACTAACTGGACACACTGATGACTCGGGTAAAATAATTTCATTGCTATTTTAGGCTGAAGATATGCCATCAAATATTAGAGAAGTTGGATTAAGCAATGTAAGTAATGAATGCTTTGTGGATGATGGACTAAAAATGAATCACTACTAAAAGAACAATTAGAAATCTTGAGGCTAAATCAATTGCAAAATTATTATTCCAGATCCAGACTCAAGGAATTTTAGAAGAAGATTCAGCTGTTGAAGGTGCTGGCGACACAAGGGAACCACCGAAAAGGGAGATGTCGCCATTTTCTACACAGTGGTTGGCACTTTGAACTCTCCAAAGGATGTATTTTTATTCAAGACTAACATTTTTTTCTACTTTCTTTAAGGTATCGAGACATACCGGACACTAGATTTATAGATATCAGCGACAATGAAGCTCTTCCAAATTTAATCAATTATTTGGAAGAGAGTATGAGCCAGTTTGAAAACATCAAAACTGCCCTGAGAGAAAATTGTACGATCATGACAAACTTTAAAACAATTCTGTGATTTTATTAATAGGATTTTTAGGTATTGAGGGTAAAAATAAGCTTGTTAACTTGATAAGGGATTCGTCTCATTTGACTCAGGAACTGAACAATGTAAAAAATCTATACCAGTGTGAAACTGAAAAGGTAAATATGAATATTTCTCATCAAATTGATCCTAGTTCACTATTTACACTTTTTTCATAATTAGTTTCAGCATGTCCACATTTTTTTTTGCATTTAGATGTATAATGATGTGTGATAGAATATTTGTGCACCCATTAGATTCTGCCCTTGAAGGGTTATATTTCTTTATTCCCAAGTATTATTAGCTTCGATATGTTTCTGGGCTAGATATACAGGATGAGTCATTTTTTGATGCACCATTGGAAAATCAACGCGGGTGCATTTAAATCTGACTCGAGGCTTATTTCCTTTGATGAATACGTTAATAAAAGAAAGTGAGTCAATTTTCGGTGCACCATTGGAAAATCAACGTGGGTGCATTTAAATCTGACTCAAGGCCAATTTCTTTTGATTTTAACATTAAAAAAAGGAAGTGAGTCAATTTTCGGTGCACCATAGGAAAATCAACGTTGGTGCGTTTAAATCTGACTCAAGGCCAATTTCTTTTGATTTTAACATTAAAAAAAGGAAGTAAGTCAATTTTCGGTGCACCATAGGAAAATCAACGTTGGTGCGNCGCTGCTCTACCACTTGAGCTATCGTGACCTCGATCCACTCGGACACTTCCCATCTCAACCGCACCTTTTGAATTTTCCCTCCTTTTTGCCATTTTTCAAATGTCGTGTAATCTATTTGATTCTCGGCAGCAAGTGAAATGGCCAAGGAGAGCTTTAGAGAAGTATACTTCATTTTAATTCATTAAGTTCACTATTTTTCGTGGTCCGCTTGATCAATTAATATCATACAATTAATTAAGGTTTTAAGTTGAGATAACTTAAGATTTTAAGTTGGCGTATCAAGCCGAAGGTCGTGGGTTCGAATCCCACTCGTGACACTGACTTTTTATCTCAACTTAAAACCTTAATTAATTTTATGCTTTTTATTTTACTTTATTTTTTTTTTATTTCAACAAACAGAAATTTAAACATCTAAAAACTATGTAATATGTATAAACCATTGCCACACTGGGTAACAAGTGGATATGGGCTCATAGTGGTCTGTAACGATACACAGCATGTCCTGGACGAAACTATTCAGCCTTATTACATGAGCATCCCTGCCGGACATGAACTTTCAGGCTCCTGGAGGAAGTGAAGGAGAACTTTGACAATGCTATCGCGCAGAAATATATCCGCTCACTATTCAATTTTCAGGGAATCCTATATGAATTACGACTGTCCTTCAGGGCTAATTTTTTAGGATCTAACACTTATGCTCTCCTACGCAAGAATAAGCCAAATCTGATCAGTGTACCAGAAAAGTGGGGCTCGATCCCTTTTTTAATTGGGCACTGTAACTAAATAATCACAAAATTGTCACCACAAAATACAATTGAATGTAACATTCGTATTAAAAAAAAAAAAAAAAAAAAAAAAAATTAAAAAGAAAAAATAAGTTTAAAATATCTAATTTTATGTAGAAAAAAATGTATTATGGTCAGGGTGCATGTGCTTGGAATTGGTACAAATTTTTGAATTTATGCTCGTTAATGGTCAATTTGATGTGTTCACCAAAAAATTATTTACTTCCATTATATGGATGCCTATTAATTTTATTAATGTTTTAATTGGTCTTAGCTGACCAAAACAATTAATCAAAGCGATTTATATTTTTTATGTAAAGTGTGGTTGGGAAGAAAAGATTAGTGGACTCAAAACCAGAACCTTTGATGAGAATCCAAATAATTACATGTGATTTGAATGTAAGACAAAAACAGGGGAATTTGAAAAAGTTGTAGGTTGAAATGATGAGTTGGTGTCTCGGGCGTACTGAAGTCACGATAGCTCAAGTGGTTAGAGCAGCAGGGTACTGAGCCGAAGGTCATGGGTTCAAGTCCCGCTCATGGCATTAATCTTTTCATCTCAATCACACTTTACCTAAAAATTGTAAATTGCTTTGATTCATTATAATACTATAAGCATTAATTTTAAGAATCCAAAATATGACCAAAAGCATATTCATGATTCAATGATTTTCTATGCAGAGAAAATGGGCACGTGTTTGAGGCATTGACACAGCACTCATCACTGTAAGGTAAAGGTCATGTTCGAATACAGCCCAGCATTACAAATAAACTTACAAAAATAAATAAAATAAAATAAATTAAATTAAATTATTAGAAAAACCAAAAAAACCCTCAAGTTGGTTTGCCTCTCTATGAAGAAGAAAATCTTGAGTTATTTTCATTCCTATTATCCCTCCTGTTTTAAGTCTTAACAATACAAAATTTATAATAAATGAAAGAACAGTGTTAAGCTCTAAAGAAAAACTTACAAAAGGAGTTATGACCAGTGTAATCAAATAATATAAGTACAGACAAATGTTTACAAATTGTCACATCATTTGTCATAATACAAGGAAGTAACAGAATTTTATTTCAGGTAATTAATTTAGAGAATAAAGCCATGAGCACAGACACAGAGATAATAAAAATGAAGAAAAGAATAGAAGACTACGAAATGAATGTACAGCGTCTGCAGAAAGAGGTGTGTTGAAGATGACGCACAGAAAAACAGCAATTAAAAATTTTATCTAACACTTTTCAGGTGAGTCAGAAAGAGATTGCACTGAGCAAAACTAAGATGGAAAAGGAAAAGTTCAGGGATGAATTCAAACAGAAAATGATTCAAGAGCAAGATCGGCTTAATCGGGAATTTGAGAGGAAACTCCGAAGTCAAAACTCTGCTTTTAAGGTAACAACACAAAGTAAAAAAAAAAAAAACTTATTAAATTCACTAGTTTTGTGGGCCGCTTGACCAATTAATACCATACAATTGATTAAGGTTTTTAGTTGAGATAAAAAATTCAATGGCACGAGCAGGATTCGAACCCACGATCTTCGGCTTGATACGCCGCTGCTCTACCACTTGAGCTATTGTGACCTCGGTCCACTCGGACACCAACTTCCCATCTCAACTACACCTTTTGAATTTTCCCTCCTTTTTGCCATTTTTCAAATGGCGTGTAATCAGTTTGATTCTCGTAGACAAATGAAATGGCCACGGAGAGCTTTAGTGAAGGATACTTCATTTTAAACTTATTAAATTCACTAGTTTCATGGTCCACTTTTAACCTAAAAACCTTAATCAATTGTATGATATTAATCATTGGTCAAGCGGACCACGAAACTAGTGAATTTAATAAGTTTAAAATGAAGTATCCTTCATTAAAGCTCTCTGTGGCCATTTCATTTGTCGTTGAGAATCAAATTGATTACACGCTATTTGAAAAATGGCTAAAAGGAGGGAAAATTGAAAAGGTGTAGTTGAGATGAGAAGTTGGTGTCCAAGTGGGTCGAGGTCACGATAGCTCAAGTGGTAGAGCAGTGGCGTATCAAGCCGAAGATCGTGGGTTCGAATCCCGCTCGTGCCATTGACTTTTTTATCTCAACTAAAAACCTTAATCAATAGTAAAAAAAAAACTTTTAATTTTAAGTTCTAAAATTTGAAGAACGAAAAGGAGAAAAATTTATTGCCATTTTGAAATAATTATTGTTGAAAGTTGGGACAAAATTAGATAACATTTATTTAAAAATCTAAAATAAAAATAAACTAAAAATAAGAGGAAATGGTAATGTATGTAAATAAAAAGACATGATTGGTAGAAATAATATATCTTTATTATCACTGCAATAAAAACAATGATTAACTAAATATTGTATGTGACATCTCCATGCCAGTCTTGTTGCTACAGTGTATTTTATTTTTAAATCCAAATTGATTAGTATTGTTAAAGCCTTAAATTATTTATTTGCAGTAAAGTAATTTCAATTTACTACTCACATGTGAGCTGCAGAAGGCACACAATCTTTTAACATAAACAGTTGAATTGTTTGAAATATGTTAATGAATTACCATTCAATGAATGTTTAGTGTTTTCCAATTTAATTATTCGTTTATTATTTAATAAAAGTGAATCGGCTAAGAGAATTGAGTTTATTTCTGGGATTACTAGAAGTCAAACAACATTTAAGCCTCGCATTCAACTGTTTCTGGTATTTCTTAAAGTGTGGAAAATTAATGGCTGTTCTGTATAAAAGCAGTACATACCTGGCATAGAGTAAACTATAGTATCTGTCCTTTTCTCACTATGTGATAGCCCTGTCTTGTTAGTTGTGGAAAAGTGCTGATTACTGAGAAATTCTAACATTTGTTTTTATATATTAATCCTTCTAACACTATTATTTGGTCATCTTGCCAAAACTTCCCCATTTTGGTTTTCCATTCAAGTTGAACATTCAAACTCAACCCTAAGAAATAGGTGAACTTTGACAAAATCTGTCCTTCATTTTCTTGTCTGAATCGGCACTAGATCACACTATAGGATCTACCCACTCTCGCAAGTACTCTTCAGACCCAGTAGAGTGGTCAAGTGCCTGTCACTTTAGTGTGTTTTCACTGACTGTATTAATATTAAATTATCCATGATAAAACTAAAAGCAATTAACTCTTGATTTTAAAAAAACTACTTCCAGTATGAAATGAGGAATAAGGAGAAAAAGTTAAAAGCTGTTAAAAGGATTTTAGCAACTGACGACATGTCTGATTCAGGATCAGATATAATAACTAAAAAAAAACCACCATCCGAATCGGAGACAGTGAAAACGCTTAGCACAGTTCAACAGAACCCTTGTCCAGCTTTAACGACGCAGTCTCCAACTTTAACAAATCCAGTAGGTACCGAGTTAAGCGTTATTCATTCAGAACCAAGACAGATTTCACGGAAGGTAACCTTCCCTCAAATCTTTGTTTAAACGATATATTTTAAAAACTCAATTTCAGGTAGCGGTTTCAAACAGGAGACACAGGAGGTCAAAATCAGCAGGTAATGACATTTGGCTCGACCACCGGCCCAAACACCAAGTCCCAATTGGTACCCTGATGCAGCCAACAATGGCGAAGAAGAAATCTGTGACAAAGCTCACTGTGGCAAAAGATGTTACAGAAAATGCCAGCAAATATTGCCTCCTGACACAACAGCAGGATAGTGAAGGCGATTTGGAAACCAGGCTTTACAAGGTACATTTCTCTGCAATTGGTAGTTTTTTCTTAAAAATAAAAATGGGATTTTAATAGGGCGATGTCATACCAACTGCAGGAGGGGGTGCCCAAGTTTTATTCAATGACGTCGAGATCCTCCGCCAGATGTCTCCGACATCTTTATCACCGGTAAAGAGACCTGCCGAAATCAGAAAGAAATTTGAGGAGTACTGTGCAGCTTCCTCAATTGAGAAAACCCCTAGAATTTAACTAAGTTTAGTTAAGACATCAATTCTGGGCAATATGCTGTGCAGATTTTCAGATTTTATTTCTCCAGTACAACAATAAAACGCATCTTTTTTTTTAATCAATAATATTGAATTCTATTAAATCCTTCCTAGCACAAAGGATTATAAACATTGTATCTTTTTTCAATTTGTGGAAGTTTAAGTGAATATTTCATATAGAACTTAAACAACTTCAATTATATTAGTATACTTAAAATAATAACGTAATATTCAGTCGCAAAACTTTAATTGCGTTCAAAACATTAAATGTTTAAAACGAAAATAAAATTAAACAATATTTAAAAAATACTTTTTTCATATCAGTTGTATTCTAAGCGTTTTTAAGTTTATGCTTTTATTATGATCAACTGCCATTGTTGGAAAACCTTGCTGACGAAGTCACTTTAAATCTTCACAAAAATACTTCTTTAAAGAAAGACAAGGTTAGTATATAAGTTGACTATTGTCGATGCATTTATATCAGTCACATACCGCACGGTCTAAAATTTTGTCCTCAATATTCTCCATAATACATAAGAATATCTGTAAACAATGCTATCATTACAAACTTGTATTATTGATCGATTATGACATTGACATTTGTAATTACGATTAATTTTTTGTAGTAAAGTATCCCATTATATAAAAATTAAATACATTATACTTGAAAACTATTTTAAATTAAAACTGTAATAAATGTTTTTTGTTCAATTTTTGTATATTTATTATTTATTAGTTTTCCTAAATACTAGTCCAAGAGAATGGTTAGATAAAGTTGGCCTTAAAAATAATTAAGTAAATAGCGTAAATATTATTAGTTATTCAGATATTGTGAGATGCGGTCGGGTGAGATGTAGGTTTCAGAAAAACATTTTCTTTATCGTGCCAACGTTTCGATCTTTTATTGAGATCATCTTCAGGGCTCAAAGTGTTTGTCTTCGGTGTAATTGTGCCATCCTTGCGTGTCGTGTTGAGAGTGCCCACAAAAGAATAAAGATAAAGAAAATGTTTTTCTGAAACCTACATCACACCCGACCGCATCTCACGATATCTGAATAACTATTGATTAACGGTCACTAATCTCTACACAATATTATTAGTATTATCAATTAAGACTTATAAAGAGTTAAATAACTCATAATAAATTAACAAGTACTTTTATAATATTTCTTAAATCATTTTATGTTCTCTATGGCAACGAGTCAGAAACTACAAATGAATAAATGTTACGAAGTTCAAATATGAGGTTTGTTTTATGAGAATACCATCTCATTTTTTTTTTTTCAAACAATGACTTCCAGGATAAGTTAATTTACGGTTGTACCTTCTCCCATCAAGATCATATGCATCCACTTTTGTAGACTGAGGAGGGCTCATAACCCACCTGTGGTTGGGTCCTATTGCACAAGGCTTGCATCAAAAAGTTGGTACAAAGGGACAGTACCGTAGAAGTTGGGGAAAACATAGAAAATCAAGGTATTAGTGTTCAAAAGAGTACAAGGCCTTTGAACCAGAAGGAATGAATCTGTGAAGGCTACTAGAGTTTTATTCAATCCAATTGGTTCGAGCCACTTTGGTTACTAATGCCACTATAGCCCGCAATTTTTTTATCGCTCAGTGTTCTGTCAATTCTGAGTTGATTTCAGTCATTAGATTCTAGCAAATAATACCATGTTGATTTTAATAAAAGTCAAGCAAAGAAGAGAAAAGTTCATAGGTAGTGCCTATTTTAACCAATGCGAATATTTGAAACTCTAGCTGCCAACGTAGTTATTTCATTTTGTAATTTAAATAGATTGGAAAATTTATATGATATTCCTGTTGTAAGAGAAAAGAATGTAGCATCTGTCAGAAACCCACTCCATTTGTAAACATCAGTGATAAATGATTTGTAACTATTTAATATTGTCCAACTCATTTGATAAACTTCTCTTTTACAATGTGGTGATCAGGCCGATGCTTCTGTATGACTGCCCCTCCTAGTATTCATGATGCAGAACTAATGTTTCTAGGCTGCATTTTATACAGAACAAGTTTCCGAGGCATGCAACAGCCCCACCCAATATACACGCAATCGGAACATGTTGATAGTGCTGGAATACAGCAGAGGTTTAACCATCAAATTTTTTAAGCAATCTAAAGCCAGTACCAGTACAATCTTCTGCCAAATAGACAATTATAAACTATGAGGTACATCCACAGAATAGAAAATGTCCTCCTGTAACTTGGCCATAATTGCTGGAGTTTTTGATCTAAGACTTTCCCTTCTAAAAGAAAAATAATGTGATGTAATTATTATTATTATTAATTAATAATTTTTTCATAACTTAACCAACTAGATGTGTCACTACACCCAAACTCCACTAAACCACTATATTTAATGTACATACAGCAGGGTCATGATAATCTGAACACAGGTTAATCCAAAGGATGCGGTAATCCTAACAGCCTCTCGTCATCTCTCTCACAAATAGAAGTCGGCTATTTTTAATCCTCTTTACCTTTTTGGTTGGCATCATTTTACTTCCTATACCTTGTTTAAACATACACATCATTTGTTGCGACACACATATGTCAACCTTCTTATTACCACCAGAAATTTGAACCTTGACCAGGCCAACCATTTCATTGGCTCTGATTCACCTCCCTTACACATTGGTTTTTCATGGGCCAAGATTTGCTTAGTGTGTATGTGCCTTTAGCCCATTTGCCATTCAGTTGGCACAAGAAAACACAACTATAACTGAATCCGAGTTTTAACTAGAGGAATCGGCTGAGTGTGATGAAGGAATAACAAATAAAGAAATTTTAACTAATGAAGTAATTGTGCATGTTGCTAATGAAAAGGAGAAGAGAAATAGTCAATGAATTTCCCCCTCTAAAATCTGCTTTGAAGGTCTTAACCCTGTCATATAAGTTGAGTCACAAACAATCTAAACAACATTGAGGAAATCATGTTGCTGAGATGCATGAGACATAGCGTTCGATCAGCACTTGGATGCCAGTGTTTAGAAAAAAATTACTGACTTTTTACAACACATAAATAATTCAAACTTGGAGTTACAATATATTGTATCTATGTATGTACGTAATTATATTGGGTTGTCCAGAAAATAATACATTTTTAACTATAAAACAAAAACAAATGATTTTAAACATTTTTTATTAATTAAAATACCCTCCATTACTCTCAATACACTTCTCCCAATGTCATGACAACTTCTCTATACTCAGTGATTAGAATTTCGTCTTTATTATTAACAAATTTTGAAAACACATTTTTGATCAATAAATTTTTTATATTGTAAAACATTGTCCAGGTGTCCGAAAAAAGGTAGTCGGTAGAATAGGGAGGGGTTAGGCAGAACAAGATCCAACAATTTTCATGTTTTCATATGTGATAGTTGTGTAACAGAATCGGCTTTTTTCGAATGACCAAAGATGGCTTCGATAATACCAATTTTTGGTGCATTGCTTTGATTGAGGTGGTGCATTTGAGAACAATAAATTTCAGCGTTGATTGTTTTGTCAAGATTCAAGATGCTGTTGAAAATCAGCCCAAACGAAGCACACGAAATAGTCACCATCACTGTTTTTTGATGAGTTAGGGGGCTTTGGAAAATGTGGTGTTGCTTCTCTTTTGTCAAGCCACTGTCCAGAACAGCTGCTGTTATTGTAGAAAACCCACTTTTCATCACAATAATTCTATCCAGAAAAGGTTCGTTTTGCCAAAGAAACGTTGCACAAACTTCATAACAATGATTTCTTTTTTGGGATTGTTTAAGCCTGAGGAACCCAACTTGCAAGTTTTTTCACCTTTCCAATTGCCTATAAGGTGGTTAACAATGGTTGATTTGCTAATTGAAAGATTCTTTGCAAGTTCTCAAACAGTTGTCTCGGGATTTTCTTCGACCAAAGCTCACAGAACATTATCACCTAGGGAAGAAATCCTTCCACAACCTTCTTTGTCTTCAAGGTCTCGCTTTTGAAATTTTTTAAACCATCTCTGAACAGTGCTCTCACTCACATTACCATTCTTCTTAATGTTTCTGGCCATTTGGGCACCGTTCCAACTGAGTTTAAACTCATAATACGAGTTATGCGAAAATCTCATGTTGACTGAATTATTCCCAAGTAATGAAATGGTACTGAGGTAAACAAACATTTTTGTTTGGAAGAGGATTAAAAAGTGTTGATATTCGTACAAAAGAATAATCTATCAAAGTTTATTACATATAGGAGTATTTGAAAGAAAACGCATTATTTTCCGTAAAACCCAATAATTATGAACGTATCAAAAATATGTACAATACGTAATTGTTGTACTAATAAAAAGCTATAGATAATCTGAACGATTTGATAATCTGAAAAACCCATTTCCCCAATTCTGCTCGGAATATCGCGACTATTATATTTGTAAATAAAAATTTCTATTCTGCTTAGAGGTAGAACAACAAAATAAATTGTTAAATATTAGATATGTATCAAAGTGCTAATTTTAAAAGTTTTTCTTACCTCCAATAAAAAACCTTTGAAAAGTATATAATACTCAAAATGCCTGTGTACCTCAACAATAGATGAATAATTATTTTGATTAATTTAATCATACTTCAAGGGTTTGATTTTAAAAAAAATTAATAAACGAGGAATTACATTTTTTTGTTTATCAAAATTTAAAAAGACAGGTTCCATACAGAAACAGGGGCAATCACTTGTCAAGACAAGACCACTTTCTTTTGTTATTTTTGATATTTTATTAATTAAAAAATAAATTAAATAAAAACTTATTTAAATCATACTATTAGTTTATAGAGATATTTCGGCGTCTGTAATAAATTATTTGTTAGCATTTTATCACATTCATCTTCGCCTGAAAAACAACCACACATTGGGGCTTTCAATATTTGCAGCCCGATTTTTTGTTTGTAAGCGACGATCATGCCTCCAGATGCATCTGCAGGTGGGATCCAATTCGTTAATAACAATTCTGACAATTACTCGAAATATTCTCAAAGTATTTACCTCGTAATTTTAACGGCGCACCTGCTAAAGTTGGGTAGACTTCATCTCTCGGGTTCTTCTGAAATCAGAAAACTGGGTGCAATGAGTAAAATAATTGAATCTTTTATTTCTTTCTTTTTTTAAGATAAAAACAAGTTTCTTTTTTCTTTAAAAAAAGTTTGCTTTATTTTTGTTGAAATAATACAGGTTTCGTTATAATATATAAGTTATTAAGTAATAATAAACTACTGCACCTTGATTTCCATAAGGAAGGTGAACTGCAAGCCTTCCAAATGATTCTTGAAGTGACTGGAAAACAAATAATTTGTACAGAAACTTTTTTCGAGGCATTGTCATAACTAATTTTAATCCAATACAAGAAAAATAACCCTTTGCACAGTGACAAAATGCCAGTTTTATATAATACAGTTATTTTTAAAAAAATTAATAATGGATACTGACCATTTGTTATGCGTTTGGTAAATTAGAAAAACAGTTCATTGTTCAATGCTGAAATGTTACAATGCGGACAAAACCCCATTGAGACATGCCCTTCTGAAAGGTGAAGACAAATACCAACCTGGCGCTCTGAGTCATCGGGCATGAAGTTGAGAAGAGGGTCTCCGCTTTCACTCGGGAGCCCCTGGGTAAGGAGGGGATCTTCAACCGTAGGCAACCGCTCTACGGTCACTGAAGGTTCTTTCGCTTTCAGCGTAGAATTCAGGCTATTAAGGATCTTCCATATGTCGGTCCTGTTCGACACAAGGCTGCGCAAGTACTTTACCTCGTCAGTCAACTTCTTGATCGATTTTTTGTCTTTTTTCGAGTGTGACTTGAGCCTGCGGTTCTCTTCTCTTAGCGATTCGACCTCCTCCTCCAGATTCTCTAAGTATAGCTTTTTCCTCAGACGATTCTGCCTCGCCATAACTGCGTTTTTGTTCAAGCACTTCCCCCTCGATTTGTACTGGCCTTTTTTGACACTTCTGCACCTCCTGTCTTCTTCTGGGCCGGCGTTATTCTCCGAACCGCTGGAATCACTCTGACCGGAAAACTTGTACTCTTCAGCGGAGTTACTCTCCGAATCCGAGCTGTCCTGCCTTGGATTCATTTTATTTCCGTCCTGTGAGATCACAAACGAAAGGAAAACGTTCACACTAATATGTACCTAGAGTCAGGGCACAAAATGCGTCGAATCCAGTCTCACATCCTAAAACTTCAAGCACATTTATACAGAATTTTGGAACGACGATGTCAAACTTTAAAATTAAAGGTAAATAATTAAAAAAACAAGATTAATACGCAGTACACACAACGATCAGTTGCAAACCGATATGACCTTGAATGAAGTCAAGCTGCTGAAGGAGTCAAGGAGGAACTGGCAAAGAGGACATCAATATTGACTACGTCAATTTGACGTCAGTATCGGGGAAAAGAGAAGCCTCCAAATTTTTTTGGCAAATTAATTTCTGGTGTTGTTATTCTATTGTAGTCATATTGCTTTTGGTGAAATCAATTGTAGGGAAGCAAGGCCGATTTCCTGGGCGATGAAGCTAATGCCAACGATCTCCTCCTGGATAGATGATTCTGATGATTATGGAATGCGAGGGGAAGCCGGGGTTCCGTCCTTAGTTCAGTTCAATTCAATATTTCTTTTAAGAAATATTATGTCATTGCATTCTTTATGTCTCAATTGAGTTCACCAAACACGGACGGTTTACGAAAAACAGGAATAGTTCACCAAACTTGTTTTTTGACGTGTCTGAACTTTTACCTTGGAAGTTGGAGGCCGATGGAAGGCTTACGTGTACAAGGGGCGAGACTTTCTATTATCCGTGTCTCAATTGTCAAAGTCAGGTTATTCTCCCGTTCGGGCCGTCGACTGGTGATGAGTTGGCCCTATAAAAAATGAATATTTATTTAATAATAATTCTAGTTTTTTCGGTTCCGAGCCTCCTCGCGATCGACGAGGAATTGGACAAGATATCATTGAGATGCGCAGATTCAGAATGTTCCAGTAAGTATCGGAGGATTTTCTGTGTGCAGCTTCGAAAGTTACCATGCAACTTCTAACTTGCACTTACACTAACAAGTATTTAAACTTTTTCGTTTGGGAGTGTTGACGCTTGATACAATACGGAAAGAAGTCTGACAGGATTCGAGCATCAGGATGGTTTGTCCCAACACAATCTATTGCTTAGAACATTACTTAATAATGCTAATGTTGTGTAACATGTCTGTCATCGAAATCTTCAGGGCATTAAACATGTAGCTTCACCATGTATCGTGCTGATGTGACTATCCTTGCTGATTAGGTCTGTAAAATCTTCAGTCTTGGGTTTGTCTCCTAATGATGATCACTTCTTTGATTGTACAACCTGTTTAGGTCTCCTAAACAAAATAGTCTTGAAAGCTGTTTTTTTTTTTTTTTTTACAGTAGTTTACTTCAATTCAAAGCACTAATCCTTTCATCATCGTTGTCACCATCCAAGGCATCAATTTCAGCTGTGTAATTGATAGTGCTGTAGAAATATATGTCAGATCTTCATAACGGCATACAAACAAGCTCCAATATTTTTTTTTTGCATTATTCTGCCTATATTTTTCTGCTGTCGATTCTAGAAATCAATTTCTAGGCCATGTTTATAAACAATGGAATACTGTTTATTTCAGCAATTAAAAAATAAGATACACTTTAGTTGTAAACAGCATACAATAAGCATTTTATATATAATCCAATAGCAGAATAACATTAACCTTTTTGGTACTAATTTTAGGATGGTAAAATGTTATTCTGGACTCCCAGCCTGAATTATTTTTTGTTCGCTTCGAACTTCTCTTACTTTTTTTGAGGTGCACTAATTCTGTACAAAATTTGACAGTACATTCCTCAGATATTATAGTTTTCAACAGAAGTATACAAATGGAAGGGGAAAAACAAAGTTATATATAATTGAAAATTTTTCACAGAATTTTAAAACAGTAACAAAAAACATTCTACAGTACAAATGTGTGGTGATTAGTGACCGTTTGTCGATGATTATTCAGAAATCGTGTGATGCGGTCTGGTGTGATGTAGGTTTAAAAAAAAAACATTTTCTTTATGGTTAAATCAATGTTTGTAAATCCCAGGCCCTGTAGATGATCTCAATAAAGATCGAAACGTTGGCATGATAAAGAAAATGTTTTTTTGAAAACTACATCACACCAGATCACATCTCACGATTTCTGAATAATCATACTACAGTACTCTTAATTGAATTATTTAGCTCAACTCTGTTCATATATGTACATACATACACACTATACAGAGTTGATAAGAAAATATATATAAATAAAGACAACAAAAACAAAAAATATATTCTGAAAATTACTGCAAATTTTAACAATGTAAAACTAAAACTGAGGGCACTTGGCAGACAAGAGGCTAAAAATCAAGGAAATTGGAAGAGCTTGCAGGGTAGATGATAGGGAAGGGTAGAGGGTTGGGAAGGGCAGGGGCGAGAGGTAAATGAAACTAACATTCCCCATGAGACAGAGATATTGGGGCCGAACGATTTTCTAGAAAAACGATGGTACCGCATTTAAAGTTTGAGAGATGTTAGATTGTCGAAAAAGGAAAACATTGTCTTGCAGAGGATAAGGAGGGGAAAGGCAGAACGGTGGAGATGTCCATTTACGAATTTACTACCAAGGTGTCTGCTACACATTGTATAGAACCTCAGCCCATTAGATAGTGTGAGCTAAAGCTCTTAAAAAAAATATCAGTTGAAAAAACAGATTTACATGTATAGACATCCAACCATCTGCTGTTGTACATTTGATATAACTTTTTTAATATTAAACAATGATGACTACAGTGACCATATGGGTTAGGCATCATCCTCAGCTAATTTTTGCTATACTTGTGCCATTTACCTCAACAACAAGACAAAAGATAGTGTTATTCAAATCAGTAGTGACTTTCTGCTCAAACATCACCTGTATACCTGTACTTATAGTGCTTGGATAATTGGATTCAAGTACAATCGAACCCTAGATGGATAATAGAGGTTTTATTATATTCACTAGGCAAATGTCGCAAATTCTTTCACCCTTTCATCTATAACAGGAAGAGTTTCTGAAAATAAGAAATGCATTCTGTCATGCAGTGTTTGTCTATAAGGATGGATCAAAGAGCTCCAGTGGTGTGGGAGTTGCGTCTATATGTGGTCCTAGCAAATTTCTTTTCTCTCTGCATCAGTTCTGTAGTAAATATAACGCTGAGCTACGTCTCTTAATCTTGTGTGCTTGACAACGACGGTTACGTGATTTGCTCTGATTTAAAATTTGCCTTGGACTGTTCCTATTCAAATGACTCCCAATGTTCAGGATGTATTGATATCATTGCCTCCAACACAGGGAAAGAGAGTTTATTTTGTCTGGGCTCCTGAACATGCAGTTATTAAGGAAAGCTGATAAAGCTGCAAAAACGTGGCCATTATAGACCTTCGAATCAGAACGTTCCAAAGGGTAACATGTCTAGTTTGCGAGTAAAAAGTTTGGGGTCAATGGAAATGGGCCTGGGTTAATATACATGAAAACAAACTCCTGCCCTCTGTAGCCTACTTAATGCTGGGAGAGCAAAAGGGAAGAATTAACCAGACCATTATAACAAAACACATCATGCACAACACAACGTAGACTTCTACACAACTGGCTGTAAGCAAGAAGTGACTTACTAGGCGAAAACCAGGTAGTGTAGATAAATTATTTGATTTATCGTATCAGCAAGTTTACTCTACAAAATATGAGCTTCTCGTGTTGTCTTCCTTTTTCCTTTTTATTAATATAAATTAAAGTATATTAATGAATATAGAAAAATATTAGTAAAGAAAATGAAATATAAAATGGTGTGTGTGTAGTCTGTGGGGGCTTCACGAGCCCTCATTGATATTTCTGATAAATCAGGGCAGGTATGACCATTCTCATCAACCGGTGCATTGAGTTTATAATAATCACCCTGATGATATTTTCATTTTGTACACACCAAACTCTATGTGGGCTAATTGCGCTCTTTTAATTGTCCTGGAGTGTTATTACCTAGTGCGGTGACAAAAACAACAGCTCCCAGTGTTTTGGCAATATCGTAATTTAACGATTGGGTAAAAGGGTGCTTAACCAGGGGTGGTTAACCCCTGCATGAGGGATGCGGATGGTGCTCACACATACAAGCTTTGTGTGAAAACATCTGCCACTCCTGAGGTCCCGCGTCCTGCTTGCTCGGCCTACATGCCACTTATGAGATGGGCAATAACCCAATTTAAAAAAAAGTGTAAAAGTGATTTTTAAATAAACTGAACTTGTAACTTAACAGTAAGCAATACTTACACTGCAATAAGTTGTTAAAAATTGATTAAACAATATTTCAAAGTGGTATGTGTAAATATTGTATTATTTAATGGATATTTGTTCTTGCGTAATGCCAGTTTTAACAATAATAATAATATTTAAACACTATCCTTTCATATGTGTTTCTTTTTGAGGGGGTGTAATTTCATTTGTCTTATCTAAAAAAAAAAATTATGTTACCTTTTAGAGTTAACAAGTAAGAAAACAGCAGGAAATAAAGTTTTGGCAAAATTTTAATTTGCTTGCATTTATTTCTACACCACAAAAAAAATTTACTTATAGTAGGTAAAATATTTTGAATATAGAGGATGGGCATTTAGAAATTATTACTACTTAATTATTACTACTTAATTATTACTTATGTCTGAACTTAACAGTATGTTGTACATTTATTGTTTACTGTTAATCAATTAATTAGAGAATTACTGTCAATTATTTTTCATTAGAATTCATATGAAAAATAATATTATGCAAACACTGGAATAATAAAATGAAATTGTCTTATTTTATGTACTTTTGCGTTTTGACTTTATTTTTGTAAAGGGCTCTTGCTTCAAATTAAAACTTACATTTTACTTTACTACCAATAAGAAAAACTTAAAATTAAATACAATCTTATATCATCATGCTTAATGAACATAAATGACAGTTTCATTATAAAGCAATACATTTTCAAAATAATAAAGCTGTAACTTTTAAAGCTTTTTTATACTAGAAAGATTTTTTTTATTTTTTAAATAGGCTCTGACAATAAGTTTGTAGGTTGACATGAAGCATATCTTTACAGATCCAATATCGAATGGAAGTATAGTTACGGATTACCCTGCCACAGACTCGAAATATAAAATTAAATTAAAAAAGGGTGATAATTGTGAGGTGTTTGGAATGAGTAATGATGGAAACATATTGCTCGCCCGGGTAAGCCCTTTCACTAATATTTAGATTGCATGTAATTTTATTTTTCATTTAATATTTACAGGTGAATAAACAAGAGGGAATCATAAGTAACATTTTCTACAGAGAGGAGAAGGTACTAGTACCAAAAAAAACACTGGTGGGAGGTAAGTGGAATAAAAATAGGTTTTCAAAAAGCAGTACGTTGGGCTCGGCTAAAAAAGAACAGAATGTACCCTCAAAACCAGCCATTAAGGAAATGGTAGAAAATAACCAAACTATGGAAGACAACATTTTACCGACAGATGAAAAGAAATCTTTCGAAACATACAATAACTTCACGTACAATGATAGTCTTGTAAATACCAATGCATTACCGTCAGAACAGAATTTTACAAACCAAGTGCAAGATGGAAATTACAGTGTGAACATAAATGAAAGTAAAATAGAACCAAGTCCGACATTAGATCCTAAGGTTGGTGATATGCATGTCAATGATAGTTTTAACAATAGCACAAATGATTATAATACTTATAAAACAGAAAATTTAGAGAAAGAACCATTAGAATACTCAAATGGAGATCATAATGCAAATAGAAATCAACCTATAGAAGTTACAGAATCAACATTAACTGCAAAGCCTAGTGATGTGCATATTAATAATACAGTGAACCCGGACAATATTACAAATCATGTCGATGATAATAGTGAAAATGCAGAGGGAATATTTTCAAAAATGATACCTGGAAACGAATCTAGTACAAAAGAAGCTGTACCTAATCTAATGGCTGAACCTGTCAGTGTAACGGATCAACATCATAGGTTGGTAGAAAACCAACAAAAAAGCACCACCAATGCCACTCCTGTTAATCAAACAGATTATTTTAACACAACTGCAACAACTTTGCCAGAGTCTAGTGAAGTTAAATCAGGATTGGAACCAACATTACAAAGTAAAATCACTGATGGTCAACCTCAGGAATCATCCAATAAAAAACCCACTGATGATAAATATTTCAACACTTCTTCCCCAGGACTTGATAAAGTTGAAACAAACGCTGAACCAATGTCACAAAATAAAAGTGTTGATATCCAATTCCCAGAGAGTACGAATGAAACTGATGAAACAAAAGTGCCCAAAACACCAGTTACTACTCCCCCAGAATATGTTCAAATGCAGACTCGTCAGAGTTCAGATGCAACATTAACCGACAATACAAATTTGAAAACACCTTTAGAATTTGGTGGATTTAAAACAGGATTGGAACAGTCGTACCAAAATAAAAACTCTGTTGCAAAACCTCTGGAAACATTAAATGAAATGCATACTGGCGATAAAGATTTGAATACAGCTTCAGATTTATCCACTATCCCAAGACCTGAAGTTCAAACAGAATTGGAACCAACATTGCAAAATAAAATCACTGATATCCAATCTCCAGAGACTAATAGTAGGGAACATGCTAATGAAACAAATTTATCTGAAACACCTTTAAACACTCTCCCAGAGGCTGATAAAAGCCAACCTAAGGAAGTTGCAAATAAAATAGCTGTTGATGATTTGAGTTCACCTACTCACTTGGAGTCTGATGAAGTTAAAGAAGCATTTGAACCAACATCGCCTGATATAATCTCTGACACTCTACCTCTGAAAGTTTCAAATGATACTCATGCTCATAAAACAGATTTAAACACCCCAGCAACTCCTTCTCAAGAAAATGATAAAGTGAAAACAGAAATGAAACCAACTTCTGAAACTATACATACTGATGTCCAACCTCAAGCAATCGATTTAAACAAATCAGTGCCTTCAACTGCTTCCTCTGGTGAATCAAAAACCGTTATGGAAACATCTTCTGAAACTACAAGCTCTGATGTCCAACATCAGCCAATTACATACAATACATACACTGATGAAACTGATTTAAATAAATCAGTGCTTTCAACTGCTTCTGTTGATAAAGCAAGTACAGGAATTGACCATACATCTGAAACAACAGGCTCTGATGTCCAACATGAAACAACTACATTTAATAAATATATTTACGAAACTGATGTAAATAAAGCACCTTCAACTACTTCCTCTGAAGAAGCAAAAACAGCAAAGGAAACTCAAACTACAAATTCCGAAACCCAACCTACAGAAGTTAAAGAAATCAGCCTTCTACCTACAGAAGAGGCTGCCAAAGAACTTGATTATAAAGCTGATGAATATGACGACATCACCAGTGAATTCCAGAAAAGGTCGGAAGCTTATGAAGAAATCGGTGTGACCATTGGAAATGGGGGTGATTGTATGTTTTCCGCATTGTACTCTGCCCTGGCCAGCTTCCAAGATTTGTTTAGCAAATCTCCCAGTCATCATGGAGACTTCAACAAAGAAACTGATACAAGTAAGAAATTTTTTTAATGTTTAATGTATACAAAGTTTTAAAGGTTAAATATTAAAATGAATTCTTTGGAAATCTCTTGGAATTTAAAAAAAAAAAATTCTGTCAAGAGCAACAGTTAAATAAAATAATCTTCTTTTAAAAATGGTAGTAGTAGTAGTAGTAGTTAAATAAAAAATTTATTCGTGAACACTGTATCAAGATATAATCTTTTAAAAAAATTATATATATAAGGAGTTGTTCTTCAAGGAAATTTGCATTTGCCTTTAAAAACTTAAATATGTCAATATAGACATAATTAAGATAGTTTTGCCCTGATGATGACCTTAAAATATGTAGCTTGGCAATAACAACTGAATTTGCTTTTTTCTTCAAGACCATACCTTGATCCGGAGTGTTCATGAGTAAAAAAGTGGTCAAAACTTCTAATACTGAAACATAATTTTTTTCTGGTTTAGCTAAATTTTTTGAAACGTTTTAGCTTTCAGTTTTAATGTTTCAATATTTAGTTATTTTCCCTGTTTTGGTTAGGGTAATAACATTGGATTTACTGTATACTGCAAAAATTAAATAAAACATTTTAGCCTTTTGTATTTCTGTCATCATGTTGATTAGGACGCACAGAGTTGTTTTTTGGAATTGTAGGGCCCATTCATACAAAACAAATTATTTGAATTTCGTTTGTTAAGTTTATTCAAAAATGCATGGTTAACTTTATGCATCATCTTTACCAAGTTTAATTTAATGAGTTTACAAAAAGCGAGATGATTTTGTTTTGAGCATGAGCTTTCTGTGGTTACAACTTCTAAACAGTTTTGATGTGATTATAATAATAGAAAATCATTTACAAATCTAAGAATGTTGAATTAATGATTACCAATTTTACGTTGTTTATATAAAAAGATCAGAGGACGGTCAAGGTGGATTTTATATCATCACTATTAACAAAGCTGATGCTCATTAATCAAATATAATATATATAATCACCAGAGATTGGTAAGAAGGTAATTTTAATTTATCTTGTTGACTTGGCATTTTGATTGCTAACTTTTGGCCATTCAAAGGAAATCAGAATAACTGAGATTTTTTTATTCTAAGGACAATTTAAAATATGAAATATCCAACGATATTTATTGTATAAATGTTTTTTACTTTGAGAATTGATTTATTTCAATGAAAAACTATAATTAAAAACAAGTAAATAGTGGCGACAATTTATTGTAATATAATATTGAATGCCGTCAATGGACAGCCTGTTTTGTGTTTGAAACCCTTTAGGAAAATACTTTAACCATTAAAAAAAATATAGCTAATAATATTTGACCACATAAATAATTGTATTACATTTAAAAACAATGTGTGGTGTTTAGTGACCATTAATGATTATTTGAAGATGGAGAGATATGGTCTGGTGTGATGTAGATTTTAGAAAAACATTTTCTTTATCGTGGCGACGTTTCGATCTTTATTGAGATCATCTTCAGGGCCTGGGATTTACAAACTTGTTTAAATCATATAAATATTTACTTTAATTTGTTAATTACAGATGAACTTGATATCCCTTCAAATCTATCTGAAGAAGTTGATATTCCTTACACACAGGAACATGTTAGCAAAGAGGTAAGAAATGTAATGTTTAAACAATTTTTTTTAAAAGATAAATTTATTGTATTTTCCTGAATAGAATTTCTCTGATGGTGACAGCTCATGGATGTCATGGAAAACCGTGCTCCTCCTTGTTTTCACATCAGGAGTCATTTTGGTCTTTTCACTCGGCAGCTATTACATAGAGGTATATTAAATGTTTCTTAAAAATTTAGAATGTTTATGTTATAATCATGTGTAAATTTTAGAATTCTAAAAGGGACGTTGAGTTAATGATGAAAAACAACAGCTTAGCAGATGAGCTTTTCATTTTGCAAAAGGAAAGGATTACTCTCGAGGAAAGACTTCAGCAATCAGAAGAAGCTGTAAATATTAACTCTTGTCATCATTTTAAAAATTCTAATTTGTACATGGTTTTAGGTTAATAAATTTTCTAAAGAATCTTCAATGTCCACTTATGAAGTTGAAGCACTGAAAGCAGAGCTGTCACAGCTTAAGGTTATTTTTTTACCCAGTTAGTGTCGTACCTTTTATTCATGAAAGTGTTTGTTTAGATGGAAAAATCGCAGGCTGAGGAGAGAGAGCAAGGGCTTATCAAGAAGTGCAACATGCTGGAAACAAATTATAGCAAACTGCGGCAGTTGTTCTCTGAGAACAAGCAGAAAGGCGAACGATCGGCATTGATTGCTGATATCAAGAAACTTAAAGAAAGCAGCAACAATGAAATACTCTCGCTGAAAGATCAGCTTGAACTTAAATCTGAAGAGGTATTTTATGCCAGTATTCACATCTGATAATATGTGTATATTATTTATGCATTTTAGATTTACATATAGGTCTGGCTGACTCAAATAATCATAAATTCCAAATATATTAGAGTTTAGTATTCAATTGTCTTTTCTATTAGTTGATTTAATGTATGTAGATTAATTTTAGAAAAGCCTATCCTAAATCCGGTTCTGGTGGTTGATTGAAGCCTAGGGTGTTCCTTGTACGAGTTTGTAAAATCTGGAGAAAATACAACTAACTACTGGCGATAAGCTTATTGGTCTATAATTTCTTAATTTAAAATTTCATCCTTTTTGTGTATGAATATTGTAACCTCTTAGTTGAAATATCCTTAAAAAAGTCAATAATTGTGTACCTAGCCATTCTGTACTATCTGACTTAAAAGGTATTCATTCCAATTGAGGAAGGAGAAGTGAAATGCCTAGTTGAAGTATCTTGTTCCTCATTTTGTCAGTCTGGTAGCCTTTTCTTTTTTGAGACTTTTGATTGTGTGCTCTATCTCATTTTTGATTATAAGGAAATATATATGAAGGAAATGCATATAAAAATGTGCTTTTTTAAATATTTTTTGGTGCAGCAAACTACATTGGTCATCCTCTCTTCCTTTGCTTTGTATTTCTTTTCTTATCTTTCTCATGTGTTAATCCAACTAATTTATTTTTTTGTTTCTCCAGCTGAGTTATGATATTTTATGGTACAACAGTAACCAACTATCTCCTTTCTTTGTCCTATTGCTAGCCTCTCTGTACTTCAGGGCTTCGTCAATTGTGGCAAAATAAGTCAAATAAAATCAAATAAACAGAAACACAAACAAGATAAAAACATGCTCTACCCAAGATTATATTCCTTGGGGTAATGGGAATATGCCCTTCCATTCACTCTAATAAATTACATTCACACTACCCTAAAGAACTCGATATTCCTCGGGGTAATTGGGGATAAACCTTTCCATTCATGTTAATTACATTCAGACATTCATTCACTCTACCCTAGAGTAGTCAATATTCCTCAAGCTAATTGGGGATACACCTCTCCATTCATGCTAATAAATTACATTCACACGTTCATTCACTCTACCCCAAAGAACTCGATATTCCTTAGGTAATTGGGGATAAATTACCATTTTTGTTAAAAAATTACATTCACACATTCTTCATACTACTCCAGAATACTCGATATTCCTCGGGGTAGTTGGGGATAAGCCTCTCCATTCATGCAAATAAATACATTCATTCCAATAAATGACATACATCACATACATGGAGACACAAAGAAACTATATACAATTAAAAGTCTTTATGGCCCTGAGGTATTCGAACAGTGATTTGTGCCTACTACCATGGCTCCTGGCCGCACATAGGTCGTATTTTTTTTCTGCTTAGTTCTTTGAGGCCTGTTATTATATGCTACCATGATAAGTTCTCCACACAATGGACACCTACTCTCACCCCCATTAGAAGTTGTTTATACTTTACTCCCTTTAAGTTATTCCTTAAAGCCCTCTTTTTGTCAGTCGGGACCAGTTTTCTTCTTAATTCCTCTCGAAAACTCTGCTGCATGAATTTTTGGCTGGTTGGCCCCTTCTAGCAAAATATTTGCACTTCCATATTCAAGTTTCAGAAGGTTTGGCTAGGCATTTTTCCAGTGTTTATCATTTCACTGATGATTTATGTTTTACAAAATGGAATTTTAATTAACTAGCATTTGTTCCAAGCAGAGAATTTCATAGCAAATGTCTCTTATATACGTTACAAGTATTGTCTATAGCTATTTTTTAGAGTCTATCTCAAATTTTTTACATCATTATAGTAGCGACTCGCGGGATATAAGATGTATTAAAATACCCAAGTATGTGGGCACTTTAATATGTCTTTTTGATTAACTGAGTGTTGTCCTGGTTTTCGGTGATTTGTTTTCCCTTGCCAACATTTTTTCCGCAACAATATGAATTTTGACTTATGTTGCGAAGTAGTTTTAGGTTTTTAGTTTTGAATGAAGAGCCTTATCAAGCAGACTATCGTGTTTTTATTATTATATTTTAGATCAAAACTCTAATGGTAAAGCTGCAGAAGAGCAATGATACAAAGGATAAACTTGAGGAAAAGTTGAATCTTATGATGAGTGAAGAACAAGTGGCAGTTAAACATTATCAAGATTCAGTGGCTAAATTAGAACAAGTGAGTAAAATTTGACGAAATCATTCATGGAGGGTCATATTTTATTAATTTAATCATTGTTAACGTTTTGATGACTGCAAATTTTTCAGACAATTGAGGACAGCAAGGCGACCGTGATAAAACTCGAAGATGAAATGGGTAAGCTGAAGAAAGAGTGCGAATCACTCACAATCGAAAAGGAGTTGGCAGAGTCTGCTTTGCAAAAAGCGCACGGACTCAAGTCATCTGAGTCCCTCTCAAGGTGGCTTGAGTCTAAGGAAGTACGTCTATCTTTGGTCGTGGCCGAAAAGAAACTTCTTGAGTTAACAGAAGAAAAAGCAGCACTTCGAAAAGAGAAAGAGGAATTATTAGGTAGTATAATAATTTCTTCTTGTTTACACATGTAATGATGAATTGTAAATTTCAGAAAAACAAAAGCTGTTAGAAAATCAAATAGAAGATTTGAATAACAAATATGAGGAAGCTGAAAAGGCAAAGATTGAAGGGCTGACAAGGCTCAAAGTTTTGTCAGACTATTTTAATGAAAAAGAAACTCAACTTCAAGAGTGAGCATTTTATTATGCTTAAATTAAATCAGTTTGAATGCAAAGATAATATTATTATATATATTTAATTTTATTTAATTCAGGCAACTTGGTACTAAAGAAGCTCTTTGGCTGCAAAAACAAAGTGATGATCATACAATTTATGAGCAGATGCGAAGCTTGAGAGAAGAGAACCAGACATACAAGTAAGTTTTGCTTACTATTTGTTAATTTAAGTTGATAAAAAACTTTTATTTACTGATTTTTTTTTTTTTAGAAGTCAAAACGAAACACTTAGAAAAGAGATAATAGATCAAGAGACATCGTTTAAAAAACTTATCGCCAATGCAGAGGAAAAAGCTGATGGCTATTGGGTGAGAGAGAATTAACTGTTCTATATTTTTCCTGGTCTAATTTAATAAATTGTTTCTGTTTAGGTCTCTCTGCGACAGGCAGAAAGAAGACTGAAAGAGTCTCAAGTTGAAGCAGCCCAGTTGAGAAATAGACTGACTAACTTAGAAATTTCTGGAGATCACCTTCCAGAAGATAAATTGAAAGGTAATCTCAAAAGTAGCATTTTTCTATCCCATAATAGTACACAATAAAGTATTTTTGTTTTACCGGTTATAATCTGTGATGAATGTTAAATGTTAAACAAAACTTTTGGGGTTAGGATATAGCTTCGTATTTTTTTTTTTTTTTTATCAACAGGTATGGAAGTTAATGGAGATATGCCGCCATTCGGGCCGGCGACTTCGCCGCCATTCATGCTCTATCCAGGAGAATTTATTCCTCCACCTCCTCTGATATCTGCGCCATCTCGTCCCCCGCCCCTTGGTAGAATCTCATCACCGACGTTGGGTGACTTCACACCACCATTACCCCTCCCACCGTTCGACAGGTACCCACCTTCACCGCCACCTCCACCTCCACAATATTTGCACAAGCCCCAACCAAGAGATGGGGCTTCAAGAAAACAGAAAGGTCCGTTTTTAGTTAATAGTTTAACCTCAGTTTCACCAAAAAGATAATTTTCTTTCCAGATTCACAATCTTCAAACCATTCATCGGAGTCGACAAATGAAAAATCTCAACGGCGATCCAAGAGATAGTAACTTAAAAGTGCTGACCCATACTACAGTTAAAATTTCAACAATAATAGAGCAAACATTTCATAAAATAAGCTTTGTATATAAAACTGTAAATAAGTATGTAAATTATTTTCCTAGTCTTGCCTTAATTATTTACATGTTGTATAAATACAAATGTTATTTGAATTAGGATTTTTGTAAGTAAAATTAAATGAGTATATTGAGAGTTTTATGACTGTGGAATATTGTTATATATTATGTGTGAGATAAAGATAATTATATTTTATTACATACATCATAAATTTTACAATGTGTGATATCATATACAATGCCTGATGTTAATACATTTAATAATCAGTGTTTCCTCTATTGTTTTTGGTGGATATTTAATACCCGGATATTTCATTCAAATGTGCTAAGTATAAATCTTTGAGTTACCCAAGGTAAAATACAACTTATTTTTAAAAAGGTTGCCGTATATTTAATTTATTCAAGAAATAAATGCCATTCCTTTAAATAAATTTGCTACAGTTTCCTCGGTATTCTTACCTAATAAGGAAAAACGCCTAAAAATTTTTTTTAAATAATATTTTTTGAATAATCTGTCACTCAATTGCCATAATTGTACAATATATTATTTCCAAGACTTAAATCAATACAAGAATGAATAAATTTTCTTACTACATTGCTGCAAACCATTTCCAAGTGTTATAAATACTGATTATTGTGGCCTGCTTATACATACTGGACCACACCAGAATGTAGCTACTTAATAATAGGTTCATCATCTGACAGATCGCATCTTAATTATGAATGGTAGACAAAATTTTGACGCTATGAAATATAATGCAGTTATTAAGGGTAAACTTGTACAAGTTTGTTGCTGGTTATCACTTGGGTAGAACAGCATAAGCACTTATAAACTTGAGTTTTAATATCTATATTTAAAAAAATGTCCTCAATATCTATCAACATTTTCTCACATTCCTTAACCAAATGCAACAATTATAACCTCAGCCTTCAACAGCCCTCTAAACCTTATCCTTTAGGTCCATGGCATCCTAGTTTATAAAAACAACACAAATCTTTTTTTCCCTCTTCTGTTTCTTTTTCCACTTCCTTTTACCTCTTTTCTCTTTCTGCTTCCCTTTCATAATGTGGTTTCATCATTCAATTATAAATAATTATTTTAAAGAGTACACACCGATAGACAAATTTAATGCACACTCAATTTATTTAGTTTACAATTAAATCCATTATCTTTCTATATTAGTTACAGGTAATTAAAAGCTATCGCAGTCAAAATGAACAGCAAATAATACTTTGTTTACTTCCTTTGTTTGCTTTTGTACTGATTAATCCAATTTGTACAAAAAGCATTATGCCCTTCTATTCTGCTACGCCTAAAAATCGCTTTCAGTTAATCTTTTTCCTTTGTAAATGTCATTTCATATTATTCTTTTTCTTAAACCTTTTTCAAAAGTTCCAGTTAGACATTTGAGTATGTCAGGGTCATTGTTAGAGGAAGGGCACAGCCAGCTTGAAGTCGCCAGGACTACATTGGGTGAAAATCACTACAATAGAAAGGGTTCTTCAGCGATCAGAAAGGGGGGCTTCACCCTAGAAGGCTAGGACAGGGCTGAGACGTTAGATCCATCCGTCATCAGGCTCTACAAAACCACATCATTACAAGAAATGAGATAAGAATTCTAATGAGACAAGTCTGAAATGTTTAAATTTTCCCCATCCTCGAGTTCTTTTACAGATGAGGTGATAGCTGGCCTTAAATCTTCAGATGGTTGTAATTTCATATGGAGATGCTCAGGAAAGTACACCCCATGGTATATGTTGGTGGCATTCCATGGTGGGCCATTGATGTTCTGGGGTGGCATTTCTTCAGACGCCGCACCAAATTGGTTGTGTGAGTAAGATGTCTAAATTCACGGAGATACAAGACACAAAGAACATGTAGTGCCATTTACCCCCAAGAACATGTAGTGCCATTTACCCCCTACATCGGTGAGAAATTGCTAACGATGGATATTATCAGGCCCATGTAGCACAAATGGTGGATAACTACCTAATGAAGTTGGAAGTGAGTGCTTAGTGTGGCCAGCTCAAAGCACAAATTTTAACCCAATCGAATACATTTGGGACCAAGTTAAGTGATGAGTACGATGACGAAACCCAATTCCTAACACCCTAGAAGAGTTGAAAACGGCTGTTCCTGATGAATTGGAAAGCATTCCTCAGGACTTTACCAGAAATCTTTTCCAAAGGCGTTTAGCGCACATAATTCTTGGCATAGGAGGAAGTATTTGGTATTAATGGGGACAAAAAATGTTTTTGTTTTTACATAATTAACAAAAAAAAATTATTTGTTTTAGAATATTCTGGTTTTTTTTTCTTTACTTAATGATGTTTTTCTTTTTAAATGTCTTATTTTTACAATCAAACCTATTTTTGGTATGCAAAATATGGATAAATCTAAACACGTTAAAATTGGTGGTACGTTAATTTTGTCCATCAATGTATTATTATTTTGGGTATTTTATTATGTCTTATTAGTAATATATTATTATTGCTATTGTTATTATCGTACTATGTTTATAAAATTAAATGTATTTTTAAAATATGTACATGTACTTAAAGCCCCTATTTGTACTTTTAAAAGTATATATAAAATAAATAAAAATAATTAAAGATAGATTAAGTTTTACTTGCTCAAAGCAGAGAAATATTATATATAAAACGTAAAGTATTACAAACACCAATAATTATTGGATGTTTGAGTATGAATGAAAATAACTTATGGATTTTTGTAAAATGGCAAGAGAAATTTGAATAATTTAAATATCGGGAATTGTGGAGGGGGGCCTCAAAATTTGATATCCCGTTTTTTTTAAGATTTTCTTCGAAAGGATATAAAAAAGAAATTCACTCGACGTTTTTATTTAAATTTGAAAGGCGAAGAAGTGGCGAATCAGTTTGATTTTGTCAGAAATCGAATTCTCGAGGCTGGTTTAAAGAAGGCATTCTTCATTGATGACCGGGGCCGAAGCGTGCGTCGAGTGGTAAAAAGTGAGAAACAGATCTCAACGACCGTGGGCCGACCACTCACGTTTCAAATCAATAACTTTGGCGTTTTGTAAAAGGGGAAAAAAGTGAGAACGTGTGAGAAGCTGAGGACGTGAAATGGTCTAAAAATTCCAAGTCGAGTCCGGGAAGTGTTCGAAACGGCCAGCCGCTCCCTCCGCCGAGTGACGAATCTCCACCGAGTTGATATTCGCCTTTCGGAATCGGTTTCGCTCAAACCCGGAAAATGGCCGCTCGCGACCCAGCGACCGAAGATTCGCTCTACCCGATCGCCGTGCTCATCGACGAACTCAAAAACGAAGACGTCCAGGTTTGTGAACATTTATTCGAATCTTTGAAACGATATCCCCCTCGCCGAGGGCGTTGCGCATAACCTCGCTTTTAATACCATTTCCCTGTTTTTAATCCTTTATCGCCTCCATAGATTTTCATCTTCCTCTCTCATCTCTCGTTTGACAACAATTGTAGCTCTCGTCCCTCGGCGAAAGCTTTTCCGACATAAAACGTTCCAGGCGAAAAATACTCCACTTTTGTATAACAAGCGAAATGTTTTTTTTGTCGGTTTTGAGTCCCGTTTGTCCTTTCGACAAAGAAACTGTTGCGTAAAAAAGTGTTTGTTTTCCACGATTCTGACGTCTCCGGGAGGTCGAGAAGCACTCGACTCATTTGAGAGCTCTATCGTTTCAAGGCACGGGCCGACCTTTTGTGTTAATTCACGATGTTGTAAATTGCATTCTGTTGTCGGATGCGCTTAAGTTCCGGTACAAAAAGTTGTCAAACACTGCTTCCATTGAAATTCAAATTATTACAAACGACAAATTATATATAATAAAAAAACCCAAAACAATGGTAACACGCTATCTAATAATTCAAGGTAAAATCATTGTTCTAGTCATTTCTTAGATAGATGGTGCAATTTACTAATAAAGTAGTGAATTGTTGGGAAGCATTGCCATTGAGGGTGAATTTTTTGCTAGATTTACTTCCTTAGATTAAAAAAAAAACTTTTGCAACTTGCACTCTGTTTATAATGTTTATAAAAACAAAATTACATTCATCGCTATAAATCTAGTGATTTCTTTGAAAGAACATTTTGTTAGAAGGGCAGATCGTGTCATTCGTATGATTTATTTCATTGTTAGATAGCATTAGAATTTATTATTGAGAAACAATTTTTTTAAATATTGTTGTACAACAGCTTTTAGCCATTTGCAAACAGATTCACTCTTATAAAGCCGTAAAATAATATTCTGCATTGTAAAAACTTGGTAAGCTTTTCCAACTTTTTATGTTACATAAATGTAAAAAATAAAAAGTTCGAAAAGCTTATGAAGTTTTTATAATCCAGATTCTCATCCATATCCAACCAAAAGAAAAGCAAGCCATAAAATAATGTGTGGTATTTAGTGACCGACTTAACGATAATTTGGAGATCGTGAGATAAAAAAACATGTTCTTTATCGTGCCAACGTTTCGATCTTTGTTGACATCATCTTCAGGGCCTGTATAAAAAATGAATTTATACAATGATAGAAATTTTAGACTCATTCAAAGTATTTGTACATTGTATAATAGTACATGATTTATAATACATCAATAATAATAGTAATACATCATTGTATAAATTCATTTTTTAACATCTTGCATGTATTTGTATAATTTAAACAATGTTTACAAATACCAGGCCCTGAAAATGATGTCAATAAAGATCGAAACGTGGGCATGATAAAGAACATGTTTTTTATTACAATGATAGAAATTTTAAACTCATTCAAAGTATTTGTACATTGTGTAATAGTATATCATTTATAATACATCAATAATAATAATACATCATTGCATAAATTCGTTTTTTAACATCTCGCATGTATTTGTATAATTTAAACAATGCTTACAAATACCAGACCCTGAATATGTTCTCAATAAAGATCGAAACGTTGGCATGATAAAGAAAAATTTTTTCTTAACCTACATCACACCAGACCGCATCTCATGATCTTTGAATAACCATAAAATAATATTTTAGCACAAACTTATTTGCCTAATGATTTCTTAGGTATAACTGCATTTTGCCATTGAGCTTGTATATATGCGGGATATATTGATAATGAAGATATTAATAAATTTTTTAATGAGGGTATTTCAACTATTATGTTAACCCCAGGGGGTTTATGTGTTTTTGAAAAATGCCGATTTGTAAGTATGTTGGATTTGGATGCAGGGCTCCTGGAGTGGAGTGCTGGGTCAGTGCCTTAACTTTTGCAGCCATTAAAAATATTTTTAAAAAAAGTGTTTTGTTAGATAAAAAGAGTTTTTTCTACTATACTGATGGGCAAAATTAAAACACCACCCTTAAAGTAAAAAAAAAAAAAAAACGAAAAAAACCCTAAAATAGGTTTGGTTGTAAAAATAAGACAAAATGTTTATTATTACCTAATAAAAAATTATTGAGTAAAAAACAGAAAATTTGAAAACATGTAGGAAAAAACTTTTTTGCCCCCTTTAATACAGGGTATATCTGCTTAATAATCACCTCTGATAAACACCTTTGCATTCCTTCGAAAATAATGATGGTAAAATCCTGAGGAATTCTTACCCATTCATCAAGAACAGCCGTTCTTAACCTAACTCTTCTAGGGTGTTAGGACCTGGCTTTTGCCATCGTACTCGTCCCTTAAGTTGGTCCCAAATGAGTTCGATGCTGGCCACACCAAGCATTTAATTCCTATCTCATGCAGGCAGTTTTCCACAATACATACTATATGGGGCCTGACATCCTGCATTAACAAGCATCACACTGATGCGGGGGGGGGGGCTAATGGCACTACTGTTCTTCGATTATGCCTTGTAAGTAGTTCTGTGAAGGACATCTTCCTTGCACAACAACCAATTCGGTGCAGGTGTCCAAGGAAATGTCACCCAGAAAATCAATAACACACTGTGAATGCCACCTGAGGAACCATACAGCATAGGGCGTACCTTTCTCCTGTCTTCATATGAAATTACGCCCATCTGAAAATTTGAATCGTCTCACTTGTTTGTAGAACTAGGTCGACCTTGTCCTGTCCTTCTAGTGTGAAGCTCTGTTTTTCTGAAACGCTGATGAATCCTTCCTTTTGTAAAATGATTGACATTCACTCTCCTGGCAACTTTGTTCTGGCTGTATCCTTTCTCTAATAATGTTATATCTGTCTGGGCCTGACTGGAGCCATTGAAAAAGGTTTAAAAATAAGAATACTACAAATGAACTGAACAAATATTAACTGAAAGCGATCTTTAGGAGTACCTGAAAGGAAGGGCATAATGCTACTTGTGCAAATGGGATTAATCAGCACAAAAGTAAATAAAGGAATAAACAAAGCATTATTTACTGTTTATTTTGATTACAATAGCTCCTTGTTACCTGTAACAAATATTGAAAAATAATGGATAAGAGGTGTGTTAAATTTGTCCATCAGTATATTTCCCCTCGGAGAGAAAATACTGGTTTTTTTCTCTTATTACGTACAATGAGAAATGTGAAATCAGCAAAAGCCGTTGCTTCGGAAATTTTGATATGATGGTTGATGAAATTTAATGTTTGCAATGAATGAATTACAAGGGGCAAAGTAATTTTCAATAAGCTTCTTAGTCTTGATGATTATGTGGGTAGATTTGTATTTTGCTAACCAGGACCTGTTATCGCCTAATATTAGAATCCTATATAAAATGATTTTTTGCTACTTGTAGAGCATTTTGTGCATAAATTAAGCAGGAAAGGGTTGTTTATAAGGTAATTAATATTTCATGTTTTCTTTTTTAGTTGAGGTTGAATTCGATAAAAAAACTATCAACTATCTGTCTTGCTCTTGGGGTAGAAAGAACTAGGAGTGAATTGATCCCATTCCTCACTGACACAATATACGATGAAGACGAAGTTCTCCTTGCGCTGGCTGAGCAATTGGGCCAGTTCACACCATTGGTCGGAGGCCCGGAATATGTCTATTGTTTATTGGTATGGTATATGCAATTATTTATTAAAAAATATCTGATTTTAATGATGATGGTACAAATGTAGCCACCGCTTGAGTCTCTTGCTACGGTTGAGGAAACAGTGGTCCGTGATAAGGCGGTCGAGTCACTGAGGTTTATCAGTTCTCAGCATAGCCCTGCAGATCTAGAAGCTAGATTCGTGCCACTTGTGACAAGGCTTTCTTCTGGTGATTGGTTCACATCCAGGACATCGGCCTGTGGTCTTTTTTCTGTCTGCTATTCAAGAGTGAATGCTGCAGTTAAAGGTAAATTTGCGTAACATTTTATGAAAAATCTCTTGAGGAAAAATTGTACCTACTATGTACCATTAAGTCTGTTTTGTACTAATTTTTCTGTCCTTTCAGCTGATTTGAGGACTCATTTTCGCACTCTATGCCAAGATGACACACCGATGGTGCGAAGAGCAGCAGCAAGTAAACTCGGTGAATTTGCAAAAGTTGTAGAGCTTGAGTATTTAAAAACAGATCTTATCCCGATGTTTGTTACTCTTGCGCAAGATGAACAGGTAAACCCTATTCATTTTATTGTGCGTATTATCAATAATTGCTTTTTGTGGAGAAAAAATAGCTTTAACTCTTTATTGATATTTAAGTTGAAATTTTTTTAAAGGATTCGGTGCGACTTCTTGCTGTAGAAGCTTGCGTGAGCATTGCTTCCTTGCTGAAACAAGATGATGTAGAGCAGCTTGTTATGCCAACTTTGCGCCAATGTACAAGTGACACTTCTTGGAGGGTTCGTTACATGGTCGCTGACAAATTTACAGAGGTTAGTTTGTAACTCAGATTACAGTTTTCCCCATTTATTGAATCTTTTTTTCTCTAGCTCCAACAAGCTGTAGGTCCCGAGATCACACGATCGCAGCTCATTCCTGGTCTTCAGTTACTCTTGAAAGACTCGGAGGCAGAAGTTAGGGCTGCTGCAGCGAATAAGGTCAAGGACTTTTGTCAAGCACTTGATCCGGCACATCGAGAACAAGTGATCATGATGAACATCCTCCCCTATGTAAAAGAGCTTGTATCTGACCCGAACCAACATGTCAAAGCCGCCCTGGCCAGTGTTATCATGGGCCTCTCTCCAATACTTGGCAAGCAAAAGTATGATTTGATATGATCTCTTTTAAATAATTTTTTTCCATTTCCTTTGTAATTAATCATTTAATTAATCCATATAGAAAAATTAACTGGGGAAACTTCTTTTTATGTATAACAGAAAGTCAGTCATTCAACTTTTTGACTCTTATTTTAAGACATTTGGGCTTTCTTTTTCAAGCAGTTTGAACAACCATAGCAATTTTTACTAACCGTTATTAATAATAGAAAGCAGAATAGTAACTGTACAAAAATGAAACTGACTTTACTAGTTTGGTTAACTAACTTTACTTTGCAATAAAAATGTTATAAATTGCTTTAGTTAATTTAATAGGACAGTGAGTCCCCTAAACTCAATTTTAACAAGGTTCAACAGATGTGTGTTATATTATTTATTTGATTAAAATTAAAAACACAATATTGCTAAAAATTAAAATAATTTTGGGGGCTAGTATTATTATGGTTAATAATATTGATGTGGAAACAGTAAATGATAGGTTGATTATAAACATGTACAATGATCTCTATTGTGTTATAATTGTATAATCCATAATTAATTTTATGTCTGTTACTTTTTTAAAAAGTGTTGTTTTCTGATTTTTTTAGTACAATAGAGGAACTTCTTCCACTGTTTTTGTCACAACTTAAAGACGATTGTCCAGAAGTGAGACTCAACATTATTTCCAATTTGGACTGTGTTAATGAAGTCATTGGCATACAACAGGTAGGGTTTTTGTTTCAAACGGCCAATATAGATTTACAGCTTTTGCCGGTTTTAAAATTGGTTACTTTTATTTTCTCAGCTCTCCCAGTCATTGTTGCCCGCTATCGTAGAACTGGCAGAGGATTCAAAATGGAGAGTGCGCCTGGCGATTATCGAGTACATGCCACTTTTAGCCGGGCAACTTGGAGTCGAATTCTTCGACGAGAAATTGAATGCACTGTGCATGGCATGGCTTGTCGATCATGGTAAATAAAAATAAATAAATAAAAACATCTCTAAAGAAGTATTTGTTCTAATATTGGCATTTTTTTAGTTTACGCAATTAGGGAAGCTGCGACGTTAAATTTGAAAAAGCTTGTGGAAAAATTCGGCTCAGAATGGGCACAGAGTACTGTAATTCCAAAGGTCCTCGCCATGTCAAATGATCAGAATTATCTCCATAGAATGACATGCCTTTTCAGTATAAATGTAAGACTTAACACTACAGAGATCACCATTCAATTAACTTTTTACTTTATTTAATATTTTATGTTTTTAAAGGTTTTGGCTCAAGTCTGTGGGACCGATATCACCGCCCATTTGATGCTGCCTACCGTAATAACGATGGCGTCTGACTCTGTTCCAAATGTGCGATTTAATGTTGCAAAGACGCTGCAAAAAATTGGGCCCATATTGGACGCAAAGTATGATCAAACTGACTGTTGTTAGAAATGCTGTTTATTTATTTTTAAATTTATCTTTCTTTTACAGTTGTTTACAATCACAAGTGAAACCTGTATTAGAAAAACTGAATGCAGATGATGATGTCGATGTTAAATATTTTGCTTCTGAAGCTATGGCCGCAGTTATTGCAGGTATTTAAAACTGAAAAATATCAAATAGAAAAAAAGATAACAGGTTTTACCACTCGTTAGAGATTTATTATAGAATGGTGATTTTTGGTTTGCAATTTTCTATTTTTAAAATTTTATTTTTATATTCTAATGAACTAAAAATCAAAGGAGAAATAGTTCTATTAGAAAAAGTCAGAATTCCATTTTAAGTAATGTTTTTGTGCATTCAAAAGCTGAAGCTAATTTAAATTTATTCTTGCAACAAATATATATTATATTGTAATATGATTATTTGAATTTTATTTTTAACCTTTCTCCAGCTTAAAGTAGATTATTTCTCATTTGCCTGAAAATTGCTCATTTCAAAACTTTTTCCTAACTGTTAATTTTAGCTAATAATTAAATATATTATCCTTAAAAACAAATTTAGCCAATCTCTATTTTACAGAAAACGGCAGTTTTATCATAATAGTTTCATAAAACTGGTGTATTATTTTTTAGTGATTTAGTCAAGCTGAGCCTTATAGATAGATATAAGTTTAAAAAAATGTTTAAACGTTTACATTTAGTGCAGTATTTTACAGAAAAACAAGTTTTTTTTGGAATTAAATTGAAATTTATAAAACATGATCTTGAATAAAATCATAGCACAGTAATGAATCTCTGTAATTGCTAGCAAATAATCTTTTCTATCTTAGAATTTATCTGACGTGAATTTATTTACATTTTATAACAAAATTTGCAAGTTAAATTGAAGTTGAGTTGGTTTTTAACACGCAGCATTTCATTTATTCAAACCTCTTCGTTATTTATTTGTGCTGAACTGGCATTGGGGCTCTTATTTGGTCCATTTTCACTCACAGATTTGTTGAACTTCTCAAATATGAAATAGATTGTCACCGAAAATGGTGCCATGCCACATTTGAGTTCAAGCCTAATAAGTGACCCAATGCTGGTTCAGCATAAGTTCACATACTATAGACCAACATTGAACATAAATTATTTATTTGGTTTTGCACATTTATTGTTCTTAGAAACATTTTAAAATAAGACTGATTTCCTGTTTTATGTCTATTTTCAGAAGAGCTACCTCACCCTATTTTAACATAACTCTTTTTTATGAACACAATATTTAAATAGTTCATTTTAGTTTAAAAATAAGTTGGTTTCAATCAATTGTTTTTTTGTTTGAAAATAATAAGGAATGGTTATGCAAGGAAAGTTTCGTAAAAACAAAAGGAAAATGTATGGTTTATAAATGTGATGTTAGGAAAAAATAATTGGGACATATCGCAAGAGATACATGTATGGATAAAGTTGATTTTAATTTTTCACAGATTCAGTTAAATTGTCAATCATTATGAAATATGCTAGGGAATTTAAAGTAATTTCCTATTTTCTTTTTGGCAATTGCATTTTTGCCTCGTCCTTTCTAGTTTTTTGTTTGGGTTGTCTGGAAAATAATGCAGGTTTATGGTTATAAAATAAAAACAAATAGTGATTTTAAACATTTTTTATTAATTAAAATATCCTCCATCACTCTCAATACACTTTCCCAACAAGACAACAGTCTCTACCATCTGAATAAAATTTTGAGTTTTTATTATTAAAGTAAATTCTGTAAGTGCATTTTCTAATGACATTTGATCAGTAAATTTTTTATGTTGTTGAACATTGTATGAAAAAATGGTAGTCGGTAGGTGAGAGGTCTAGAAAATTGGGATGGTGAGGCAGAGCCTCATAACCAAGATCCAACAGTTTTCCTGTTCACATTTTGGGGCCAACAAAATCGGCATTTTCCCATTGACCAAAGTTAACTTCAGCAATACCAATTTCTGGTGCATTGCTTTAATGTGTCAGCAATACATTTTGGCATTGATTGTTTTTTCAGGATTCAAGAAGCTGTTGTAGTAAATCAGACCAAACGTAGCTCAGTAAAGAGTCACCATCACCTTTTTTTATGAGTTGGAAAATGTGATGCTGCTTCTCCTATGTTGAGACACTGTCCAGAACGTGTATTGTTATTATATAGAATCTACTTTTCATCACAAGTAACACTACTAACCAGAAAATTTTCGTTTGTCTCGCCAAAGAAGTGTTGCACAAACTTCATAACGATGATTTTTTTGGCCGTCGTTTAATGCATGAGGAACAACAGGATATGCCTGTTAAGCCAATGCTCATAGTTTCTTGATAGATTGTAGATCGAACATACTGGTACAACCAAGATTTTACTCATCTGTTGCACTTGCACTCTTTAATAATCAGGAGAAAGCATCCTGTCTTGGAGCGATAGTAACCCTTTTTTAAGGCTATTTTTCATTATGGCTTTTTAATTGAGAATACATAGTATGAAAAAGGTGAAGTGTTTTGACTCCTTGTATGTGAGACCCAACTGGTAGTTAACACTAAGCCCGCGTGTATGAGAAGAATTACTTTATTGAAATCTATTAATACTTCCTCATCCCTGTTTACTATATTCTATGTTTGGCTTTTTTCGTTACCCAGGCAGAACCCAATTTATTACATAAAATGGTAAGCTATTACTTAAAAATAATTAAATTCACTAATTTCGTGGTCTGCTTGACCAATTAATATATTACAATTAATTAAGGTTTTTTTAGTTGAGATAAAAAAGTCAATGGCTCGAGCAGGATTCGAACCCATGATCTTCAGCTAGATATGCCGCTGCTCTACCACTTGAGCTATTGTGACCTCGATCCACTCAGACACTAACTTCTCATCTCAACCCCACCTTTTGAATTTTCCCTCCTTTTTGTCATTTTTCAATCGAATCCCGCTCGAGCCATTGACTTTTTTATCTCAACTAAAAAACCTTAATTTTAATTAATCTTGAAAATAATATAAATTATTTTTTTGTTTTTATTTTATTTATCTAAATGATATAAATTATGACACAACAGTTGTGTCCCGTGTAGCGCTAAGTAAAAAATGCGCAATTTGCAGAACGTTTGTTCAATTTGGGTGTGTAATTGAATAAAAGTCGTTATAATGTTCTACAATAATTTATGTTTATAGTAATCTTTCGAAATGGGTCAAAAATTAAAATAACCAAACACATATACGGAAAGGTAAATAACAGGATTTTCATAGAATAAATGAAAAAATTATTTCAAATAAAAAAAAATTGATCCTTTTGTCGTCTCTGATCAATTTTCAAAGAGAATTGTGTAGCGGATGAAGTAGAGGGAAAGTTTAAGAAGAATAAACGGAAGGTCTCAGTCCGTGAGTTCACCACACCCATAAGGACAGTTGACATGATGTACATGTTGTCTTACACAGTTGACATGTTACAGCATGAACGATTTTGTGTAATTGGATTCTTAGTAAAACTGAGATGAGTGGAGAAAACAAATATGTTGATCAAAAGTCATAACCCAATTCTTCTCTTGAAAAAAAAAAAATTGATCATAGTGGACAGTACCAGTGTGGAAATTTTTGCTGCCTTTCCAACCTAGTATTTTTTCATCATCATAAAATAAAAGATTTGCTAATAAATGATTCACCAGAGAATTGTTATCTTGGTACTTGAAAATTAATTAAATTTGCTCAAGTATTTTTAAATGGTGAACTACAATTGTGTATCACAATCATTTAAATGTTTTTAATTAAAAGACAGCATATTTAGTTCTAGAGAAAAGTTTCCACTAGAGATTTGTCTAAATATGACCTCTTGTTTACACCATCTTTACAATTTACCATGTAAATTTGTCGAGAAAGTTTCAATAAAAATAAACTAGGGTTATGTTTTGGTATTATTGGTGCTAAATGTCAGCCCACTTGGAATTCAACCTCATACATAAAAGAAGAGAAAGGGTTGTAATAAAGGTAATTAAATCCAAATTTCATTCTAAATGTCAAACTACAAGATGTCTATTTTGATTTAAGTATGGTTAAACTGTCTAAAACTTGTATTGAAAATGGTCTTCGACAAATTCAATTGGTGATGTTCAGATAATTGATTCTGTTTTGGTAAAACAAATAAACTATTTTGAAAATTATGGGTTAAAAATGGCTTTATGGTACACATTGCTCGTTATTAATCTCTCATGATAAAACTATTGGGTCATTTCAAATTATTGTTTGCTCATTTTGTTAGCAAATCTGGCATTTTAATATAAACAATTTTTTTCTCCTCCGTTGTATGAGTTGTGTAATTTCATCATGTCCTCACCACGTTATGCATTTTAATTTCTATGTCGTCGTTCTGTAATATCTATGTTTAAGATGCACAATTCGTCACAATTTCACAAATTTTTCGTAGCAGCATCAGCCTACTGAAAATAATTTTGAATTTTTTGCTGTACCTGGAGACAGATGGATTGCTCTTGTTTTAAAGGCGTTACAACAGACAGCTCTTTCGAAAAGTAACGAATAACATGGTTGACTGTTGATAATTGAATTTTAATTAAAGCAGGATTATCTCCTGTTTTTGTTGAATTTGCTTTGAAAAACAATTGCAAGGACAAAATTGTTTTCACATGATTCATTAATAATGATCACAATAGAAATTTAACATTAGTCAGATGTTTTACTAATCTGAGTGAAAAGAAAAGAGAATAATGAACAAGTAAATAACAATAATAAAATAAACAACAAATCAATTATTTACTTAATGTAGTTATAGATTTTAAAATTAGAAGATTTTAAATGCTGAAGGACGAGGTATTTTCTGAATAATTCATCTTAAAGTGGTCAAATTTAGCCGTTGAATAAAACATTTTTATTTAAATGTTTTACAGTACGTTTACATTATGAAGGACTAATAAGTTAGTTTTAAGGTCTCACCTTTATGTATTGTTTATTGGCATGAAAACGTTGATCTTACTTTTTTATTTAAAGACACGGTTTTATTTATTTAAATAACCTTTTCACTTTATTCGTTTTCCCCTCTTTCACATCGTACATATTGTAATCAACTTCGGTTAGCTAAGTGCATGCTTGTTTTATGTTATTTATAAGTAGTCGATTTGGTCTTACTTCGGGTTTCATGTGTTTTTGAAATCTGTGTTATTGTCTTTTTTTTACTCATTTGTGTCCTGTTTTTGCTTGTTTCAGCTTAAGCTTTATAGTTTGAACAAACGGATCTGAGGTTAAAATAATCCTTTTATTGCTAAGAAGAGAGAATTAAGTTCAACATGTTAATTTATCTACTTTTTTTTGTTGAGGACTGTTTATAGTTGATGCATTTATTTAACTCAACTTTGTCAAGCTAATCGTAATTAATTATTAATGTTTTAGTACTCTTTATGTTGTGTCAGTACCCAATTATTTATGCTAGGACAAATAAAAAAATGATAAACAGATTTGTATATCCAATAAAAAATTACCTTCGTAAATTTATAAATTGCTTTTTAATGTTTTGTTGAACCCTTAAGTTTTTCCTTGCAGTGGTGGAAAAAATACATTTATTTTTGTGGTAAGTTCTAGAGGATGTACAGCAGGAATAAACGGTCGTTTTCATTTAGGAAAACATAAACAGGCAAATTTGAACAAACTTTAATGGTATAGCACATTTTATTTTGGTTGATTTAACAAAATATCTTTTACATATTTTTTTTGATAAATTTTATTACTAATTACACCAAAACTTATAAGAACTTACATTGAATATCTATTGTTTGACAAATAACACATTAAGTACATTTCTGTCACCTTAGCCAATGTCTCGAGTATTTTTTTAATCAGCCATGCTAGCAAATAAATCACAGAACATTCCTTATAAATTGAAATTTTATAGCAAATATTCTTTTTGAAAATTATTTTGTTTTAACATTCAATATTGATTATTGTTAAATCCTGGGTAAAGAAACATGCATTTTTTGCAAGAGCAGGAATTTTGTTTACATTGTATGTATTAATTATTTCTTACTTATATTCATTTTATTAAAATTTTGAACTTTGCCTTTTCATTGCGATACAAAATACAACTGACAAGACATGAAAATCATGTGTATAACATAATATTGGGATTGGTTAAATCCATTATTTGACAATTAATTTTAACGAAAAAAGACAGTTGCCAGCTGAAATTCTCAATTTAAAAAAGTAAACATGTTATAATAGGAATTTATTATTAAATCTTCCCAGTTTTTCACTTTTGATTGTATAATATGGTGTGTGTTAGGTTTGGACAAATGCCCCATTCAAAAAGAAATTGCTCAAGGGGCTCGATTATTTACATTTTTTTGCACGTCGCAATATTTTTCTGTAATAAAAGTCAGGCTAACAGAGATGTTTATTTACGCCGGCGAAAGCTAGATTGGCACTGTATGTCACAGAAATTGTGATTAGGCACAAATCTAAACAAATGCTATTTAGACCTGATGTGGGCGGCTCGCTTTTTTCGTAACCTGGAACAAATGTAAAAAGAAACAATTTGTGAAACAAGACTTTCTTTATATTATTTATGGCTAAAGCAAAATTGATCTTTGACTGCAAGCGGAATGGAGGTTCAAAAGGAGTACATACTTTCAAATAATAATTAAAAAACGAAAAAGTGTGCTCACCCACAAAAGCTCGTGATAGTGAGTAGGTAGGGGCAAAGGAAGGAAAGGAAAATAAGCCCAACTTTGATAAATTGACTAGATTATTTACTTATTACTGTAATAATCATGAACTAATATTTCTGGGCAAATTTAACAATTACAATTATATACTAGGAGTATTCACGTTTGTTACATGTTAACTTATGTCGAGAAATATACAGCAAGATTGTGAACGCCCCCACTATTTTCTAAAACGTTAACTGTTTAATGTTCCATTTTGGTAGTGGAGAAATATATCTACTGTATCAAATGGTTTTTTAAATATTTTTTAAAAAATTCTATGGATTAATCAACTATCTCACCATTGTCAATGAGGGTGTGGGTTGGCGGTATCATGTTGTTTCTCGACGGTGGGTGTTCGACGACCTCGTTCTGAATCCTGGGGCGGTCCAAGTCTGCCGCCTTTTCAGTCGTCTGCCAGTATAGAGAATGGAAGGAAGCGGTGCATTTCAGTTTCATCGTCCCTCCTGGAAAATGGGACGATTTCGCCTGCATCCTGATCGTGAGGATAGTCATCTCCAAGTCGTCTTCGACAGCCTTCCGGTATTGCTTAACATGTTTACGGTCAACCTGAAAATTGGTGTTTTTTCATTTTTGAAAAATGTGTAAAACAAGAACAATTTGTGGTGAAGCTTTGTTGGTGAGATTTGCAGGGTGATGAACCTGTAGTTAGGTCATTTCCGATCATCCCTCCATGGATTTGTCGGTAAGATGTGGATTCGACATCTTTAGTGGTGGTTTTGGGACTAGGATGAGCAGTAAACGACCTAACTACAATTTATTCTCAAATGGTGAAATTTGAGATCGCCTATAAAAAACTGAAATATCTCAATCTGTATACACATTTAAGATTGTTTTGCCCGACGATGACCTTAAAAAATTAGAAAGCGTGACAGTAATTTGCTTTTTTCTTCATGACCATACCTCGATCCAGAGTGTTCGTACAAATTATTGCTAAGCTAAGTCGAGTTATTGAGCGCTGATTGCCAATGGTCCGCCTATTCTCCCTGTATTCATTGGAATTTCAGCAATTCACCAACCGATACAGGGTGTTCGTCTGCTCGTGTTACAAACTTTGCCAGTAGATTCTACATTCAAAAAGGAACCAAAATGTCCTATTAACTATGATCCTAATCTCAACAGTTTTGGAGTTATTTCACGTTTTCTGATTTTTTCTAAAGATTTCACGACCTTGCTTCAAATATACATTGATAACTCAAAAACTAAAAGGTTTTGGGCAAATCCGTTGATCCTATTGAAAATTACGGTATAAATGATTGCGAATTGCCATTATTTGTATTTTCATCTACATATGTTCATTTTTCGTCCTTTATCCTTTAAATAATTGCGTACTATACTCAGAGGAACTCTCTTAAAACTAGGGATGTTTAGGATTGTTACAGAATCAGAACAGGGTTGCATTGTTTTTTGACCTGTTTCATTAAAACGGTTAATCTAAAAATCGAATGATAAGAGTTCGTATGTAAAAAACTAATTGTTCTCAATTTATCTCCTGTTTTTAATCGGCGCTTTGTAATTAAGTTCCTTAAGACTTTCCTTCACGATTCTAACTGTAATTATCTTACAAGTATCGCCTTGTTTACGTAAAAGGGGGAATTAATTCGGAAATAGAGAGGAAGAGAAACGGGACATGGAAACTGATTAATGGCCGGTTGTTTCCGTGAAGAAATATTTGCGACGTTAGAAAAGGAAATGTCCCTTGTTGATGTGGAAGTATGGCACTAGAGATAGACGGGATTTTCTTCAATGGCTTTCCCCATTTACCATCGGCTTCCTTAAAACGATTTCTTCAATTTCTTTGAGAGAATCCAAGTTAAGCCTAAAACAGTGAATTCACGCTTGGTACACGAAATAGGTTCGGTGTATATAGTTCAGTAATTTTAGAGTAAACTAATAAGCCCAATAAAGGTGATGAATTACAAATTTGAAATATCGAGCACAGCTCTATAACTGGGAGTTAATGGAAAATGTTCTAAGTTCTTCTTGGAATAAAACTTAATTAAAACTTAACTCTGATGAAAGTAGGGCTGGACTTATAAATAAACAACCAAGGAAACTATATTTTATGCAAGAAGTCATTTCATTTTTAAAAAATGAAGCAAATGGATAAAGTAAATATAGCCTATTAAATTCAGGAAAAACGGTTCTTATTTCATAAAGCCGAAATTTAATTTGGGGGGGGGGAAGGAATAACTATAAATTTCAGTTTCTGAAATCATATTTTTTTAAGTTTTCCCTCTTTAATTTAACATAATTTAACTTCAGTTTCTTCCATTTCTACATTTTATTAAAAGTTTGTTTTATTTTTACTTTTCTAGGATTAGCTTTGTTAATTTGAATACAAGTTGATTTGATTATGCTTAGATTTAGTGTTAGAGGTTTGAGTGTCCTATCCACATGAGTTTGAAAGTCAATTGTTGTTCACTTAATATTAGTAAAAAAATGGGCAAAAACCTTTTGAAGGCAGCAACTTCTTAAAGATTATTCAATAAGTTTTTTTTGTAAGATCTATCTTTCATAATTTCAAATGTTGGAATGAGACAAAAGACAAAATGGAAGCCAGTTTCATTCCTCACGGTTCATCAGATAAACGGACTAAAATATTTATCAGAAGTTCGATTGATTCTGGGTCGCTTATTTTCGCTCATTAGATCTTCGCCGTCCTTGAGGATCAGAAGCACAAAGCGAAAATATGCTATCTGGTTTGTTCATACCGATCCTAATTCTTTATCACAAAATAAACCTAGACAACTCCCAAAAAATATAGGATAGTTTGTACAATAATATTTTCATGAACATTAATCAAAAGTTAATCAATTCATGCCTCTTTCTTTTTACAGGCACAGAGGAAGCACATTAGGTCCTTGGAGTCCGTCGCATTGACCAATTCAATTAACTATTCTTCCGACTCTCGTGAAAATGATTTATGCTGGAAATTAAAACAATATTCAAGGCGCTTGTGAATTACTGTGGACTCATCCATGCATCATCTATCAAACGGCCAACCGCACGAAGACCAAGGACCATAACCCTAACATAAAATCTGTTCTCTTTTAAATTAAATATATAATTATTTGAGATAGTTTTCTTTAAACTGCTGACTTAAAGATTGAACCTAGTTTAAACATCGTGTTGATGCATGGTAAATTTGAATATATCTTAATAATCTCAATAGTCTCTCAACTAAAAGAGAAAGTGAAGTTAGAATAGGTATTATAGGTAGAATAGGTAATATAGGTCTATAAAAGAAATTATAAAGATGGGGTGAGTAAGTCGATTTACTTTTTGTAAAGGATGGCTTCTACTCACAGGTTGTTTACAACTATACTGATTTCAAGCATTAAACGCTCATAATCAGTTTGAAGGAATTACAGTCTCGCGACGTGAATTGTAAGAGTATCTTGAGAGTAACTTCTTACAATTCATTTTTTGATGGTGACCATCCTGAATTTGTTGAACTTCATAATAAGATGATATGTAGGAAATAAATTGTAAATAAAAAGACAATTTATTTCCTACCCAACATTTTACAATTCATGTCGAGAGACGTGTTTGTAACTGTTTCAACCTGAGGCTGTAATGCTTGAAATCCGGATCTTTGGAAAGTACAAACTTTAAGTAAAAACTATGTTTTAAAGAGATTAAGTTTAGAATGTTATAATTGTTGTTGTTATGCAAGATATAATTAATTTGATGATTTAATTACATTATTGAAAAAATTCTTATTCGTTAGGTAGGGATTTTGTGATTTGAATTTTGATGCTTATCCTGATATAGAAAGAAGAAGATAAATGTAAATAAAAATAATTTTGACAAAAAAAAATTGACAAAATATTAGATGAGTTTGATAAAAATGTATATTTGTTACCCATGATGTCAGATTGGCTTTGCTTTAACGCCATTATAGTGCGGTGTGCTCGCATCAAGTTGTTTTTTCGATTTCGTGAGGGGAATGTTTATGGATTTTAATAATCTCAATAGTCCCTCAACTAAAAGAGAAAAATAGCTTAGAATAGCTAGGTTTAGTATAGAAATGATAAAGGTGGGGTGAGTATGTCGATCAGTAAAAATATCCTGGGAATATATAAAAGGCATGCTGTCAGACGTTAAGCCGAATCAAAGATGATTTGTTTTGATGTCGGCTCCGCCGCGAAGTCAAATGGGGCTTGATCAAACCAAGCGTTGACCCTGGACAAAGTTGGTCTATTCAAATCGTATTACAGTGCAAAACCTAAAGTCGTTTCGCATGTTCGTGAGTCAGCTCAGTGTCGTTTGATGGCAAAGTTTGGCTAATTTCAATTTCAGTCCTTCACGGTCGGGCGAGCGAAACGAAGGTCCTAGTCGTCGTGAGCACTTTGCCAACACTGATAATGGGCCGTGTTATCGAAGCGATTTCCCAGAGGTTTGACTATTGCGAATTGCGAATTTCGCAGTAAAAGCTGCCAGCCGATAACGCCCGATGAGGGCTTTCCAAAGGCGCATTTCTTTAATGCGATCAGGTCCCGAGAAACCGTTTCCTGCCATTTAGCAAAGTGGCCGGCCCTCCCCCATTAAGCCCGCCACTTTAGAAAAATTGGCAAAATTATGCCTATTTAAAAAAGAAGGGAAATCGAAGTTTATTGTCGGAATTGAAATTCAATACCAATCTGAAAAAGCACTAGCGGAATGATAATGTTAACTTTTTTTTGTAGAAAATATCAGTAAGGATAGGTACTTATTTATGGAAGAACTTAACCAAAAGATAGGTAAAAGGTTCTCTGCAAAAAATGAGTTAAGATCCAATTTCCTTTAAATTTTGATAATTCTGTTAAATATGATTTAAATATAACAACTGTCTTGATTAAAATATCGATTAAAATATAATATAATATATTATATAATAAAGCAAGATGGAATGAAATTTAAGAAATATAAGATTATTTGGAGATCATAAACACCACACAAATATAAAATTTTTTAAATAAAGCATATGACCCAACCGTTTACTCGTTCTTCGTTCCACATCTAAGTTTCGTCAAAGTTAGGTGTCTGTATGTAATGCTGATGAAGAAGAAATCGACCACGACGATTAATGTGTTTGGGATCTGGTTTCTGGTCAGGGAGAAAAAGAAATAGACTCTGATCACTTGCCACGCTTTCGGTCTTTATAATACCATCATCAGGGCAGCATCCTATTACTCATATAAACATTACAGAATGTCGAAAAAACCCCGATGACATCGACTACGAGGTCTGGAAGTACATGAGGTTGGTTAAGTTGCAATTAAGGCGAGTTGTTTGTTCAAGGATAGTGGTCTCCCCGAAATGCAGGCCCAGTCGATAAAACCAAAACTAACATTATGCAATGTTAATGTGAGTAATGGGATGCTGCCCTGATGATGGTCGTATAAAGGCCGAAAGCTTGGCAGGTGATCACAGAGTCTACTTCTTTCTCTACCTGACCAGAAACCAGATCCCATACACTATGTGTGTAATATAACAACTTCCAAGGAGCAAGGCATCCCCTATAAATAATAGTTTTGTATGTTTTGCAGAATTTGAATGTTGAA